TGGTCTGCGAGATCAAGTAGAGTATCTAATATGTGGAGAACGCGGGACAATAGAACTAAGGTTTGGTTAAAATTTATAGTAGATGGAGTGTTTGTAGCAAGAGGGTGATGAATAGGCTTGGACAAGGATAAGGTATTTGTAGGAGAGGATATATAGGATAATAGAGGAAAAATAGAAGAAGTTGAGAAAGGAATGGTGGAGGAATGAAAATGAAACACAGTTTCATAAAGAATGACATTTTTTGAAAGAAAAATTTAATGGGTATGGAAATCATACAGAACATAGTCTTTAGTACCTTCCTTATATCCCAAGAAAACAATTTTGCTGGCGCAAAGCTGAAATTTACTTCTATGATTTTGCAGTGTAGTGGCATAAACAAGACAACAAAAAACCTTTAAATGGATTATGCTAGATGGTTTATCATATAACACTACATAAGGACATTTAATATGCAATAACAGAGTTGACAGTCTATTAATGATATGAACAACTTATTGAATAACATAAGGTCAAAAGATGTGAGGTAGCTGAACTTGGTAAATAATGCTCGAGTTAAATTTAAAAGATGTTGATGTTTGCGTCCAACAATACCGTTTTGTTGAGGCGTTTCAACACAAGTTCTTTGATGAAGAATACCTTTGGATGAAAAAAAACAGTTAATTAAAATTATACTCCATTGTCACTTCGAAAACATTTGATTTTAGTATGAAATTGAGTTTCAATCAATAAAATGAAATGTATTAAATGCGTGCAGGTTTCATATTTAAATTTCATAAATTTAATCTAGGTAAAACATGAGTAATCATCAACTAAAGTGAGAAAATATTTGTAACCGCAAGTAGAAGGTATAGAATATGACCCCCATATGTCTCCATAAATAATATTCAAAAAATTTATGTGACTATGTTTCACTACTATGATGAGACAATTTGCGTTGTTTAGCAAAATAACAAATGTCGTAAGGAGATGGATTTATAGAATAAGGGATAAAATGATATTGTTGGAAAATAATACGAAAAATAGAGTCAGAGACATGACCTAATCTATGATGCCAAAGAGAAGTATCTTTGGGTTTGGTAGTAGTGGTATGAGCAGAAACAGGATGATCGTTGTGATAAGAGTGAGACAGATTTAGCACATACAATCCTTGATGCAAGTTAGCCGAACTAATCATCCTTTGGGAGGTTTGCTGCAAAATAACACAAGAGTTAGATTAAAAAAGGAAATAACAGTGCAAGGTTTATATCAATTTTTGAACAAAAATCAGATTTACACGAAAATTGGGAACGAAAAGAACATTATGAAGAATTAAGGAATCTGACAACATAACAATACCAGATATAGAACTGGAAACTTGGAAAACATTTGACAAAGTAATAAAATAGGTGAAATAGATTTATGAGTGACAAAACTGTGAAAATCAAAAGTGATATGATCAGTAACACTTGTATCCATAAGCCACTAAGGAGATGTTTTACCTAGAATAACAGAAGGAGTTTTAGGAAGAGTGGAAGAAGAATTAACCGAAGGAGTGAACACCAAAGTTGTTGTATGCGTAGGAGATTTGGATGGTTGCAAAAGAGTTAGAATTGTTAGACAAATGACATCTAGAGGGGTGCATAGATGCACAAATTAAAATAGATGTCAAATTAAAAATTTATTTATTTAATATGTCAAATAATTTGTTAATTCAATTTTAATTATCGGATAAAATACAAATATAACAAAAGTAATATAATCAGAAAAATAAAGGAAAGATTATAGAGAAGAGAAGGACAGTATAGGGAAGAGAAGATCACACAGAGATTTATACTGGTTTGGGTATAACCAACCCTACATCTGATTCTCAGTCAATTCTAATCACAAAAGTGACCCCAATTCATTATCTTTCAAATTCAGTTTACAAATTACAATCAACTTAGTAGAGGAACTAGTAAAAAACAAATTAATTCAAAAGACAATCACCTCCTTAGAAACCCACTAAGGATGAACACCTCCTTAAAATCCCACTAGGGATAAATACCTCCCTAGAATCCCACTAGGGATGAACACCTCGTTTGAACAAATCAAATGATGAAAAATACCTCATTTGCAACCAACACACAAAGGATGAACACCTCCCTAAAATTACACTAGGGATGAATACCTCCCCGAACAAAACAAAGGGATGAAAATACCTCCTTAGAATCCCACTAAGGATGAACACATCCCTGAACAAATCAAAAGATGAACAACAACCACTTAAACCCTAAAAAGGGGATTTAAGAGCAACCACTTAAACCCTAAACAGGAAATTTAACGACAACCACCTAAACCCTAAAAAGGGGAAGGTAATAAAATAAGAATAATCACACCTGGGTAATATAGACAACAAATTATAGAAGTTTGTAGAATGTTAACCTCCAAGAACAAGTGTGATTAACAATAAAAGCACAAAAGACAGTAGAGAAGAGGATTTTCTCATAAGGTGTAAAATATCTATGTTGTCTTGCTCATAATTCTTTTCTCAAAATTGATTGAATGTAAATTGAATTTTTGAATTTTGTAATTGTATATTTTTTATTTTTCATCAAAACTTATTTAAATAAGAAAATAGCATCAAAAAATAACTGTTGGTCATTAATACTTTCGTAGATAAAAAATCATGATGTATTCAAAATCATTTATTCTTCAACACGGATATTTTTCAAATTTGAACTGCCATAATCGATTATGTTACCAGTATAATAAATTATGACAGAAAAAATCGTTTTTCCATTTCTGATGCATCATAATTGATTATGACAGTGAAAAATGTCATGTTACGAAATTTTATCACACTCGTGCTTTGGAGGCTTATGTATAATATTACTTCATCAACTTGTACCTACATATCCAGTATTCTAAGACTCTATCTAGTCTTCAAGAATCATCTTAGACTTGCTTGAATCTTGAATAGAATCTTTATCAAATAATATCTTGAGCTTGTTTGAGTCTTGAATGTTGTTGACTTGAATCATCATCAAAATCATCTATTAGAAATGTAGGGACATGTTTCACATTGTCATAAAACTCCCCCTTATTTCTTTCAATCAATAAATTTAGGCACTGACTGTGAGATCTCGTGAAGATTGGAAACGTTGATAGTAATAGGGTCAGATGGAAAAGCACCAGAAGCGACATTATTGGACATGCGATTTTTACATCCTGTTGGAAAACCATATTTAAAATAACACGTATCCACTGTGTGATTTGTGCATTCACAATAAATGCAGAATTTATTATCATGAGAACTTCTTCCTCCATTATTTTTGCCACGACCCCTTGGAAAGGAATAATCTCTGTCTCATCCTCTATAAAAAGGATTCAAGTTAGAAACATCATCATTCTTGAACTGCAATTCAAAAAAGTAGTAACAACTAGGGCTTGTGAATTAAGAACAATTTCAGAAGAACTAAGAACAAAATATAATTGACGTTCTTGCAAGGTAACTATGTTAAAAACTTTGGTAATATAGGGAAGATGATCAATTAACATAATTTGAGATCGTACTGAGACATACTGATCATTGAGGCCTTTCAGAAATCGAATGACATAATCTTGTTGCTTATATTGTTGGGCAAAATCAAAAGCATCACAAGAACATTTGATAGTACATGTGCAATTAACAAAAGGACGAAAACTATTTATTTCCTCCCAAAAGTACGTAACTCTATGTAAAATTCAGTTACAGAGAGAGTACCTTGGTGTAGTTTGAATAAACCTTCCTGTAAATCTACAATACAAAAAAATATTTCATTGATGAAAGCGATGGTACAAATCTTGTCAAACGCTAGAAGCATGTTTGATCCAGATAATGGATTGAAGAATGGTTTCATGCGCCGATCGTTGGATTCAAGAAATAACCATTGTGTTGCAACAATTCCAGGGTCCATGAAGAGGGTTGGTTGATGGTGGTTCCAAGAGAGTGTCATCAACGAATTTCAACTTATTCTTGGATTTGAGCGCAAGTTTCATGACGCGGGCCCATGCATGATAATTCTTGTCATCCAACAAGGTGGAGACAAGAACCATCCAACAAGGTGGAGACAAGAACGGGAATAGGATTTTCATTGGAAGGAAGAAAGAAGAGATTTGGAGGATTAGTGTGAAAGTTAGTATAGGATTCAAATGTCATATGAATAGAGAAAAAAATTAAGAAATAACATCTGATACCATCTTACTGTTCATATACGTACAATGAAATTCATCTGTTTTTATTAAGAATTTATCACCTTATAAAGGAGTACAAGCAGAGTATATATATAATCTCATAAAACAGAAAGAAAAAAATCTGTCATAACTAAAAATAATACAAAAAGGAAAAATCAAGATTTGTTATAGAAAAACAATTATGCTACTAATTTCTTTGTTTAATTAATGGAAGGCTTGCGACTTTTATTAGATTCCTTTAAATTTTGATTTGATCTTATTATTGGATTCAGCAATCCCTTCCACGTGAATTGAAATTTCCCAGAGATTGGAATTTTTTATGCACATGACTCATTTTCATTGCAGTAATCTGTCACCACTATATTTGATATATACTGAAGTTACCCTTCACTCGACGTCAGTTGGAGCTAGTTCAAATTCTACTGTTAAAATCCCTGAAGTTCAGTGCTCATATCCAAAAGATAGGGCATTCAAGCTGAGGTGAATCATCCATATTTATGACCACATAACAATGGTCTTGAGTTTTGACTAGGGCACATTCAAGGAAATTGAAACATTCAACAACTTTAAAATTTCAAATAAATCTCCATTGACTTTGGTTTAAGCAACTCCTGCAAAAACATTTCACTGCTTCAGTCCCTTATTCCAATCCTATAATCCGACTTAGCATCAGTTCCTTGATAGTAGTGGGATTGCTGGTATTCATTTTGCAGGGGCATTCAGACAAATTGGAACAAAGAGAAGTCCCCTTTAAATGATTTGTCAGATGATAGTATACATTGAGGTGGAACTTTGAATTTGAAATAAATATGGCACTGTTGTACAAGTACAAAATGGAATGGGTGACTCTTCCGTACAGAGGAAACTTAGATTGCAGCCTGACTGGTGATGTAAAAATTGAGTTTGGTACACATAATGCAAACTGTCTCAACTATAGTTTTCATAATGATCGTGGATCATCATTTCTGCAGGAACTACAAAATACTTGAACAATTGTGAATGTCTACTAAGCTCCACCAAGAACTGCAAACAATGCCATTTGTTGAATTGATTTGTTTTTCCTTATTAGTTACTGATAAAGGATCTTTTGAAAAGTTATCCATATTGTCTATGTACAATTTAGTTTTTTATACATTTTGGATATACAGTTACTTCCTGAAACATTACACAGTAAAAATAGATTTGATGACAGAATGCAGATGCACTGGAAATTCTACTGGAACTAATTTATGTGTATCACTTGAGAGAGAGTTTGATGCATATATAAGACAGCTAGACACACAGGGAGAGAGAAGAAGGATTCATTCCCTAAAAAATTAGAATTAGATATTATTCTTTGTCTTTATTATTTAATTTATGATAATCTAATAATTAAGATTAATTATTATTTAAAATAATAAGATTTATAAAAGAATGAATGGGGATTTATAATTTTTTACAGGATGTCAACTTTACCTTTTATATTTCTAGCAAGTCAACTAGAATCAGAAAATATATTTATCTAAATGTGTACCCTTCTGATTCCCTCGGGATAAAAAAATTCACCAGCAAATTATTTGAAATCTGAAAGTGGTATGAGTGGATGTTCAGCAATCAACACTGACAATATTTTAATATTTGTGCTAATTTAATACTGCTACAATAGTTGTGTATTTGGATGATCATCTGCAAAATATAATTCAAATTAAATTCATTCTGTAAAAACTATTCGTGGTTAAGATTGATTTTAGTTTGTGTTTGCATTCATTTTAGATTTCATATAATCATGTTGATATAGTGATTTTATGGAATTGCTTTAAGTATAACTTAAACGTGTTTTTTTTGTGTGGATAAAATATACTATTAGAAAATTGACTTTCATAGAGAATGTTGGTTGGAAGCTTATATTATCATCAAATATTGATTTTTGTTTTGTTTAATTAGCAACATGATTTTTAATATCCATATATTGTGTGTGTAGTTATTTAGCTTTTAAAATAAAATTCATAGCCATGACCAGTTGACAAATACAGTGGCATGCACCATTTACCCCATCTGTTAACTTAAGGCAATATGTTGTGCATCAAAGTTAAAATATTTTGCTTAAAGTTGTGCTTGGTTTGTTGTTAGGGGTTGGATGATGAAGAAGAAGAAGACGAAGAGAACGAGCTGATCTTGGCTTGGGATTCGAGTGGATGGTAGGAGAATGAGGGAATGGTGAGGTTCCAGAGAGGGGGAAGAGATGGAATCTTTTAAAAGGTGAGAGTGAGGGACAAATATTATATTGAAAAATATTAATAATAATAAAATTTTATATTTATATTTATTTTCATGTGACATTAATTAAATTTTTCAGTCAATATTACTCAATTTTTTGAGCGATGATTAATTGATGTGAATTGTAATCAATCAAAATTATTTTCTTTATTTATATTCATATTGATATAAGTTGGAGGTAATACTCTTATTCTTCAATTAAATATTGATGTTCTTCTTGAAATACAATTGATAATGTTTTTCTAAGTAATTATAGAATATATAATACAAAAATATTTTTTAAAAATTTAATTTTCGAAATCAATGACTGCAAATGTGATTATGTGTTATTAAGATTTTTTTATCTAATTTACTTTCTCATAATTTACTATGACAATATGTTGATTGCGCACTCAAAATTAAAAACAGTCAGACAAACAATTATATATATATATATATATATATATATATATATATATATATATATATATATATATATATATATATAAAGACAGTGATAAAAAAATGGTTAGTATATCTAAAATTTAAAGATGTTAATCTCTTTATATAATTCATGATTTTGTGCATTAAAAAAAGTTAATAAATCTATAATAAAATTAATTTCACTCCAATCATTTATAACTTTTAGTCTATCAATCTAATAAAAAAATATATCTTCAGAACAAAATCTATAACATAAACATCATATAATTATAAAATAATGAATTAAAACACATAAAATAAATAAATAAAACTTCTAAAATAGCCTCCATACCTTAGTTGTTTGAAGATAAAGTAATAGTAGCTTGCCTTGAAATTCATATTGAATCAACCTACGTGCAACCCTCAGAAAATCTTGAATCAAGCTACGTTCTTTGATGTAATTTGATCCAACTGAACACTTTTATTCTAATGCAGAGTAACAATGTTAAAGAATGCTATCAAGTCACTTTTAAAATCTTAATATACAAGAATTACACACAAGTTATCAGAAACACTTTTGGCGTGCATGGTAAAAGAAATAATGGGAAATGTGGTTGTGAAAGATGAAAGCCTAAATATATATCTAGAGATTATGCAGAAGTGGGCTAGGGCCACCACTTCCTGTACGAAATAAATACATTTGTTGATTTACATATTACCTAAAGCACAAACCTAAATGCAAAAATTTTCTTGCTTTTTTTTTTTTTTTTAAGTTTTGTTTATAGCATAATCAATTTTTATATCTTCTCACCTCAATCCTATTTTCACTTCTACCAACCATCATTATCAGGTTTCTCATCGCAGTGAAATTGCTTTGCTGGAATTTCTGGAGATACTGCTCGATGTTAATGACCAGTTTCCACAGCAAAGCATCAAAGTGGACACTTTTTTCACGTAATATTGAAAATTCGACCACAGATGTCATTTGGGCAAATCATAGATAAGTCCAAAACGAGGCTTGTCCTGCAGAGCTTCATCAGGGACTGAAGCAACGTGGAAGTACAAGCAGTGTTACTGTTGCAATGATGCTTGAATTATAGATGTAAGAGATGGATGAATACGGGCTGTTCTTAAGGAACGTGCTTCACTTTTTCCTCCAGCAAATTCTTCCCCCAACGGCCACCTTGGGCGTATATCATACTGAAATAAATCATAGTTTAACAAATTTTAGAGACTGATAAAGCACAAGCATGAGTATGTACAGGTTAACTGATTGAGAGAAGAAAAGGTCCGTGTGCCATGTTAACCAAACAAATTTTCAGCAATTTTTACACTAAATTTGTGTGAATCTTACATTACTAACATGTAAGATCAACAACATCAATTACAATTATGCAAAATCCCGTGGCCAGGTAAATTTGTTTAATAGGTTAAAAATGAAAGGCTTAATTGCATTCTTGATTATCGAGCTATATTTGAGATTTTAGTCTTCTAGGTTTCGCTTGTGCCAACCAGTCCTTGAGGTATTGCAAACTTGCAATTTTGAGCCCCTCAGACTCCAATTGGATTTCCTTGATATCCTAATTGTCAAATTTTTTAGTCCCAAACAGAACATGTCATGAATCAATGTGATGTAAGCAAATTCCTAAAGACAAAAAGACAACTCGTAGAATTGTGATTCTTGAAATTAAAAAAATAGAAAAGAATAAGTTTGATTTCTCTCTTAGGTTCCCATATTTATAATAAGATGGGTAATTCAGATATAATAAATGAGAGAGAACAAAGGAATAAGAAAAGACATATCTAATTCAAGTTCCAGCACTAAACAACTTCTCAATAACGCTTATTAGGCTTATTCTAACCAAGTGGATCACATAATTAAAACTTCAGGACTCAAATTGCACATTTATAATACATGTATATACAAAATAATTATAACAGGTGAAAATCATCTTAAACAGTATTTACCATATAGTTGATAGCAACATTCACCCACAAATGGATGTAACATTTTGTAGACCTTGGGTATAAATTATAACTGATCTTATTGATTGCATAAAAAAGTGCACCCATAATTTTTTTAGGGTTAAATATCTTTTTATTTCCTATAAAATGTGTTAGTTTTGATTTTGGTTTTAAAATACTTTTCTTTGCTTTTTATCCTTCTAAAATTCCAAATATCTAATTTTAGTTTCTAACATCCTAGGATAGGTAATTAACATATATTTTACCTATCTTAAAAGGGTTTTTTAAAGGCGATACTAACTGATATTATATCACATTAGTCCAGCTTGATGTCAATAATATTGTGATAGAACGTCAGTAACTGACGGCTTAAGAAAAAACCTTTTAAGATATGTGAAATATGTTATTTATCTATCCTGAAATAGATTTCAGGGATCAAAATTAGATGAAAAACAAAGAAAAATATTTTACAAAAATTAAAATCAAAATTCATAAATTTTATAAGTCAATTAAAATCAAATCTCATCTTACAATAACTAAAAAGCATATTTAAATCAACAAATTATTATCCAAAATCCGACAAGAGAATCATAATAGGAAAGCATATTCAGCGTGTATAAAAGTGCTTTAAATGTGCAGGAAAACACACCACAAAGTCTTCGGGTTCTTCTGCAGGTGGAGGAGGGTCATATCTTCCCATGCGGAAATGCTCAATACCAGTCCAAGCAATCATTACACCTATTCAGTTCAAAAGCAAGTTAATAAGAAATAAACCGCTTTCTGATAAGAAGAAAAGTAGTTTTAGGACTGTTATCGAAGAACCACTGCCAATAGGGAACAATGAATGTTCCGAAGGTAGAAAAAGGGTATAGCAGAAGATAGAGAACAAATCAATCGTCTTTGTTGAAAGTCCCACATCGCCTACCTCATATCATTTGGTATGGTTTAAATACATGTTAGGCTACTCCACATATTGCCAATTGGTTTTATGTTGGAACCTTAACATGGTATCAGAGCCAAAGCTTAACATCTTTCCGGTTATTGTCATGGGCCAAAAGTTGCCCTTTAGTTGGGTCAAAAGTACCCTTTGCCTGATCTCGCGGGCTTCGTTGGAGGGGGTGTGTTGAAAGTCCCACATCGCCTACCTCATCATTTGGTATGGTTTAAATACATGTTAGGCTACTCCACATATTGCCAATTGGTTTTATGTTGGAACCTTAACAGTCTTATTCCCATTATTCTCAAGCTAATTTATACAGTATAAAAAGTTATCAATCCGTTATAACTGCAAACCGTTACTAGAATTATTTATAACAATGCCCTTCCCATAAACCCATCCTTGACATCAAGGATTAAAAGATGGATATTTCTTCTTCGGATCATAGTAAAACTCCCATGTTGAGTCTTCTGGTAGATGATGTTTCCACTGCACAAGGATTTTAGTAATAGGCATCCCTTTCCTTCATACTGTTGTCCTGTCCATAATCCTCTCAGGTTCTTTATCCATAAGAACATCTTGCAGGTACGGTAGTTGAGTTGACGTAACCGCGTTACCTACATGAATCTTTAATTGGGAAACATGAAAACTTTATGAATGGGTTACCTACATGAATCTTTAATTGGGAAACATGAAAACTTTATGAATCTTACTACACGTTGGCAGTTCCAGTTCATAAGTATTTTGTTTATTATCTTATAAAGGGATCAAAGTACTTAGGGATAAGTTTAGCATTGTTTCTAAAAGAAACAAATGTCTGTCGATATGGGTGTAACTTAACGTAAACCCAATCACCAATCTGGAATTGTTTATTTGTTCTATGTTGATTTGTTGTTTGTCTCACCCTATCCTGCACCCTCCTTAAATGGAATTTGAGGACCCTCAACATTTCTTCTCGTTTTTTAACCTCCTAACCACTAACTCCACCTTTGATTCTCCTCGGAGATAGGGAAGGGGTATAGGAGGTGGTTGCCCATACACTATTTCAAATGGAGTGGCTTTTATGGAAGTGTGGTAAGAGGTATTGTACCACCATTTTGCTAAAGCTAACCATTTAGACCACTTGTGTGGGGCGTCTGAACACATGCACCTAATTTAAGTTTCAAGGCACCTATTTACCACCTTAGTTTGGCCGTCGGTATGTGGGTGATAACTGGAAGATAATTGAATCTGAACTCCCTGCATAGCCATGAACTCTTGCCAGAATTGGCTAGCAAAAATAGTATATTTGTCACTAGTAATTGTATTGGGACAATCATGTAATTTAAATACATTATCCAAATATAACAGGACTACCTTACTAGCGGTATATGGGTGAGAAAGTGCCATGAAATGAGCTGCCTTACTCAGTTTGTCTATCACCACCAAGATGACCTCTTTCCCAAAAGAATGTGGTAACCCTTCAATGAAATTCATGGTCACATGCTACCATATATGTTCCGGAATGGGAAGAGGTTGTAAGAGTCATGGAGAAGTTGTTGTGTTATACTTACATTATTGACAACTATCACACCTCTGAATAAACTTTTTTACGTCATTAGATAATCCCTTCCAATATACTACGACTTTTACTCTTTTCATTGTAGTCCCTATCCCTGGATGGGCCCCATTTGGTGATGAATGGAACCACTGCAGAATTTCATTCCTTAATTTTGAATCATTACCTACAACCAATTTCCCTTTCTTTTAAGTTCTTCTTGATGTCAAGTATAATGCTTGTGGAGACCCGAATCTTCTTGAATTTCTTTTATTATTTTTGTATGTTTGTATCTCGATCCCACGATATATAAATTCTTTTCACCCAATTTGCTTCCAATTGATGTGTGATGAGATTGTTACACTCTGGAATGTTCCTTCTTGAGAGTGCATCTGCCACAACATTCTCATGCCCTTTTTTATATTCAATTGTAAAATCAACCTCCATTAATTTTACTAACCATTTCTGCTATAAATCTGTGGTCAATCTTTGATCAACTAAGTATTTCAAACTGTAATGATCTGTTCTCACTATAAAATGTGTGTTTATGAGGTAGTGTCTCCATTTTTGTACTGCAAAAACAATGGCTAGCAGTTCCTTACCATATGTAGATAAATCTTCTTGTCGCACATTCAATGCTCGCCTAATGAAAGCGATTGGATGTTGTTCCTGCATCAATATTGCTCCTATACCGCAGCCCGAAGCATTAACTTCCACTACAAACTTCTTAGAAAAATTTTATATTCAATTGTAAAATCAAACTCCATTAATTTTACTAACCATTTCTGCTATAAATCTGTGGTCAATCTTTGATCAACTAAGTATTTCAAACTGTAATGATCTGTTCTCACTATAAAATGTGTGTTTATGAGGTAGTGTCTCCATTTTTGTATTGCAAAAACAATGGCTAGCAGTTCCTTACCATATGTAGATAAATCTTCTTGTCGCACATTCAATGCTCGCCTAATGAAAGCGTTTGGATGTTGTTCCTACATCAATATTGCTCCTATACCGCAGCCCGAAGCATCAACTTCCACTACAAACTTCTTAGAAAAATTAGGGAAAGCTAATACTAGTACACAACTCAACAATTCTTTCAGCATCTGAAAAACCTGTTTTCCTTCATCTGACCAAATAAATCCCTCTTCCTTAAGCATGTTTGTTAAGGGTTTTGCCACAATTCCATATCCCCGGATAAACCTTCTGTAGTAACCCACAAGACCCAAAAAACCTCTTAGTTGTTTAATGGTTTGAGGTAGGGGCAGCTGCACATGGCTTCTAGTTTGGTTGGGTCTGTCTCCACTCCATTGCCCAAATTAAAGTGTCTCAAGTATTCCACCCTTGAGACTGCAAAATAGCATTTACTTTTTCTAGTAAACAAGTAGTTTGCTTGCAACGTAGCAAACACTTGTTTCACTTGGACCACGTGGTCCTCCAAATTCTTACTAAAGATCAAAATATTATCAAAAGAAAGCAACAAAAAACTGGCGTAGAAATTTAATGAATACCTTATTCATCAATGCTTGAAATGTAGTTGGGGCATTAGTGAGACCAAAAGGCATTAACAAATATTCGTAATGGTCGTCGTGTGTTCTAAATGTTGTTTTATACACATCATCAGGGTGCATCCTAACTTGATTATAACCCACTTGAAAATCAATTTTGGAGAAGATGGATGCTCCATGTAATTCATCCAGTAAATCATCAACCAAAGAAATGGGAAATTTATTCTTGATAGTATGTTTATTCAACTCCCTGTAATCCACGCATAACCTCCATGATCCATCCTTTTTCCCTACGAGTACCACCGGACTAGCAAAAGGACTACACCTCTTTTGGATAACTCTGGATCGTAAATAATCTTGGATCAACTTATCAATTATATCTTTCTGACCCTTGGCATATTTATAGCGTCTTTTATTCACGGGATTGGTTCCCTACATAAGTGTTATTTTATGATCATGATTATCTTGAAAAGGTGGCAATTGGGTGAGTTCACTGAAAATATCTTGAATATGCTGGAGCAGGGGAATGAATGCTACGTGCTTTAGATGATGCTACTGCACCCTTAATTTCGTCAGTTTGTTGTTTGAGTAATTCTTGAATATGATCTTTCAAAGAATTTGTCGAAGTCTTTTGTACAGATCCCATTGATACCACTTGATAAGGAGAAAAGTAGTTTTAGGACTGTTATCGAAGAACCACCGCCAATATCGAATGTAGAAAAAGAGTGTACTAGAAGATAGAGAACAAATCAATCATCTTATTCTCACTATTCTCAAGCTAATTTATACAATATGAAAAGGTATCAATCGATTATAACTGCAAACTGTTACTACAATTATTTATAACACTTTCATTAAACATAACCAAATTTGTCCATATTAAATTAGTAGTTCCATCCTAATATGCACTTTTAACATTGGATCAAGAGAGATGGATAAATGACATAAAAATTCATGCCACAACTAATTTTTTATTGGAGAAAAAACTACAAAGGAGAGAATTGAAATATTACAATTGAGAAATGGATAGTATTTTTTCTATATCTTCATGAAAAGCAACAAGGAGACAGAATGTGAGGCAAAACTGGTATTAGACTTCATTTCTACAATTTGTCCATGCCATTCCATAAGGGTTAATGCAAGTTTGATTGGCACTTGTTTCCCCTCAACGGAAAATATGATTTCTAAATAGTATGATACAATTTGTCTTTTAGTGGAAACTACAAATGGAACACAGTCTTTGTTATTTTGTCTTATAGTGGCGTGGAGATACCAAGTGTGATGTAGCCTCTCATTGATATGACTTGTTCCGCCTACTACTGCCCGTGCAATGCATGGTGACAAGTGGAATGTCGCCTCACACGCGTCCCCATGCAAACCACCTATGTCCCATAAATAGTTTTTTTTTTTTTCCTTTTTTTCTTAACCCATTTCCATATAAAAGCCAATTTCCCCCAAGGGTTCTTCCTATTTCACTAAATGGTCATCAATTTACGTCTTCAATCTACTCATGAAAGTCAGATTTGATGAGAGTAGTTCGATTGTTGCATGTCAGTTTATTAATGCCCTGAGTGACTTCAAATTTTAATTGTTAGAAAAATGACCTAAGCCATGTAATATTGCATGTCATAGCCCTACACTCAGTTTTAGCACTAGATCAAGCAAGCAATTGTATTTTGCTTTTAGCTTTGCCATGAGACTATATTTCCTCAAATAAGAACACAATATCTAAAAGTAGCCATCCTATTTGATGGTGATCCTGCTAAATTAGCATCAGAGTAATAAACATCTTGGAATTGCCTTTGGCTTCATAAGAAGGAGAAGTGGGTCTCGATAAAATCTTATTGCCAAAGATATAAGAGGTTGGTGGGAAAACTCATGTATCTCACTATTAACATATCAGAACATCTCTCATGCAGTTGGAGTGGTTAGTCAACTCATGCTAAACCGTAGTATTGATCACTTGAATGCTTCTAGGACAAGGATTGTTGTATTAAGACAAAGATAACACTTAAATCTTTGATATTGTGATGCAGATTGGGTTGGTTGTCCTATTGACAAGAGATCTACTATAAGATATTGTGTATTCAATATGATTTCTTGGAAGACTAAGAAACAAAGTGTTGTTGATTGATCTAGTGCAAAAGCTGAATATAGATCTACGATCCTTGCTACGTGTGAAATTTTGTAATAATGTACAAATGAAGTTGTACTGTGATAATCAGGTGGTTCTTCATATTATGTCCAATCTAGTGTTTTATGAGAGAACAAAACATATTGAGATTGACTGTCATTTTGTCAAAAAGAAGTTATTGTCCAAGGACCTCATTATTGACTTTGTGAGTTCTAATGAACAACTCATAGACATTCTAACTAAATCTCTAAGAGAACCTAGGATTTAATTTATATGATCCAAGCTTGATGCATGAAATCTATATGTTTCACCTTGAGGAGGAGTGTTAATATATGTTTTATTTTATTTTTCTGATGCAAGTTCCCAAATTTAGGGTGAGGGTTTGGGCACGAGACCAACCTCCCTTTGTATTCTATCTCATAAATATACCATACTAGTGTCATTTGATTCTTTCTTTTTCACCCTAAATATTTCTCTCAAGTTAAAGAACCACACTATTGATAGAGCTAGCCTTAACCAATAAAAGCAAAGTTAAGAATAAATAATTACCGTTATCAGTGCAAAGCTGAGGAGGAGGGCACAAAAGTTGCAGGCCGTTCTTCTTTACAACCATATCAAGCCGGGCTCGGACAAATTGATTTGATGCAACACCACCAGAGACAACCTACAATAAAAAATAGAGAGAATGTCATACAGAATTTTTTAATGGAAAGGAGTATTGATGTTAATGGACCCCACAACATTTGGATTCAAAACTACCAAGTGTCTTATAGAAGGCTCCATCTTCAATGCCCACTGTATCGCTCGTTCACACCTTTCTTCAAGATGTAACACAGCAATTCGCTGCTTAACATGTAGACAAATGGGCTAAAGGTGAATGAAAAAACAGATAAAGAAATATTAAACAAAAGTACACTAACTAGACTTGAAACCACACAGTAATCTAAAAACTGTACGAAAGTATAACAAACCTGAAAAGAAGCAGCAATATCAGCCCGTGACAGTCTATCTTCCTTACTTGTCAAAGAGATTGGAATTTTGGCATCACTGGCAATTGCCCATATTCATATATCCGTAAGTAGGCAAAAATAAAAATAAAAAGATGTCTGCATAATTTAATATTATTACTACATCATAAAATACTTCTTGCAATATGCAAGATGAATCATAGGTGAATGCTTCATCTAAAATAATAAAATATTGGCAATGATCTGAAAATGAGAAAAATAAAAGATAACACAATAAAAAAATGTCGTATTCAGATATTACTTCAATAAATAATATTTTTATATTAAATTCAATTTGTGCACAACAAAAATGAAAGAACACTAAACAGAATGTGGTAATCAGATATTTTTTCAATACAAAAATGTTTTTAAATTACATTTGTGTTGCTAACCATTACACTAGACAAAGCTGATAAGATCTGGAATAAACAGTCCATCAAGTTACAGCATTGTTCCATGTATTTGTTTAAAAAAGAATAAATCTATTAATAAACAACTTAAAATATTTACTTACATCTTTTTGGACTCAATTGCCAGTCGAACTTGGGTTTTTAGACCAGCATAGGAGAAATTGCAATCTTTGTGCTGCTTCATTGGAATCTAGAATGACAGTAATAATCTTAAATCTCCAAAAGAAGCAGGGCATATAGATATTCAACCTAAAGCAACGATCAAAAGCTGGATAGAGGAATATACTATTGTACAGCTAACATACAGAAAATTTGATTGATTCAGCATTTCCCTCCATAGCAAGCTTCTCAATAGCAGGACCCCCACTCCTTCTCAAATCTAGTCCAAGCCATTTTGCTGTCTTGTCATATGCCTCACCGATAGCATCATCTATTGTAGTTCCAAGTTGTATGTATTGTCCAAGATCACGTGCAAGAATGAGTAAATTGTGCCCTCCTATAAAAACAGGTCACACAAGTTAGCCTAGTGTAGGTAAATGATACGTAAAAAATATATAGTTAGCAGTGGCTGTATCAAATCACAGGTTTGCAACTGGACTATTCAGAAACTACGCCATAAGAATCACTCAAATAAATGACATTTATCACAATGCGAGGGCAAGAAAAAAGCATATATGAAATGAGAGTGTAAGAACAATAGGTAATTAAGGTTGAACTGATAAACTATAGGATAAAATTTTGTTATACGATAAAATTTATAGGCAATGTGAGTATAGATATCAAAATTGCATTTCAGCTGTCAGATTCCATCACAGCAACGAACTCAGTAACAGAATCAATTACCGTTAATGAGAGCAGAAAATAACAAAATTAATTTACTGTATTAATTACTAACAAGTATATCTAACAGGATTAAATGAAAATAATTGAAATGAAAGAAGAATATAGGTGGAAAACACATTCCTCTGTATGAAAAGTTAAGGACAAGGTGATTACAAAATAAATGGAATTCTGAGAGCAATATAATTATGGGTAAATTGTAAGTCTGCACAATTCACACATCTTTACATATTAGTGGTGATATGAATAGGAATGGTTCAATACTAACTATAAGATACATAATCCTTACTTAGTATTGATTCTACTATATATCTTACGCACATGCAGGATATGGTACCAGAAATATATAACATACATCATAACTATCCATACACATGGAATGTCTAAAGGACATGTATATCAAAAAGCATTTCCTTGCCAAATATGTTGATCACATCACATCTTATGTACATTTCTTTTGCACATCATCAAATTTTCCTGGTGAGGCTTGACTGAAGGTATTCATCATCATAACAAAAGTATTAACCTGCAAACTACTCGTATTCAAATGTCAAAACACATCGGCCTTATTACCCTTGCTGTCATGCCTTACAATCTAAATTCTTTGAAACATGAACAATGACTAGAAACAATGATTCCATGGTCCAAGGAAATAAAACAGACAGGTGTAAGAAAAATTCAAGAATGAGTGCTTGACAAACCAAACTAAAACCCAAAAACACGAATATTACCTGAAATAAGTAGGGCCATGAATGGAAACCGCAAATCTTTTTCAATTAACCTAAAACAAAAAGATATGTATGACTCACAACAAAAAGTGTAATTTTCTTTGCAAAACTAAAGAGTGCAAAGAAATTGTAGAAGCATAAAAACATACAGAAACTAAGGTGTGTTTGATTGTGTTTTCGTTCTTTAGTGTTAAAATCTAATTTATAAAAAAACTGATTTTCAGAGAACAGAAGTGAGGAAAGGAGATGTGAAAGAATAATAAAAAACATGAGTAATGGAAAAATAAAAATAGAAAACAAACAACTCAAAGAGAGATGTTTTGGTTTTCTGGTCTCAAACCTAAAATAGGGATATTAGTTTTGAAAAAGGTTTTTTAAATAAACTATTATAAAACAAGTTTTTCTTGTTTTTCTGTTTTTAGAAACAGGAATAATTTCTGCAGCTGCCATGTCTCCTGATTCACGCTAAACACTTCATCATCCTGATTATGTTGCTGAGTTAGGGCTTCAGTTGTATAATGTGAACCTTGGTCCTTGTCAGAAAGTGTGATATCATCTTAACCCATCCATATAGAAAAAAAATGAAGCAGATCAGGCTCAACATCTAATGATTTTTTTTTTATTTGAAGTATTTATCAAATAAAAATTTCAAAGTAATCCAAATAAGTAGTTGGAGACTAGGTTTGGTCCCTCCTGTTCTCTCCAAGTAAAGTAACCAGTCATTATCCAAAATTACACATAACCAGTTCAGTAAAAAAAACAATTAATAACCCACTACAATGGCCCCAGATACAGCCCAACACATACACGCACTTCTGTCTTATTCTGCGATATAAACTTAGTATAGCAGGACAACAGAAAATGACAGTTGAGATATTCAACCTTAGAACCACTGTAAGCAAAATTATATCAAGTGTACAGTCTTCTTTACTTTTTCAAGTGCAAGGGTAACCTGAGACACAAAAATAAGGATTTGGGTTCTCACATATCCAAGCCACACATTTGTCTTTCCTATTATTCTTGAATTTCGTAGAGAACAGAATATCAGAACAGAACAGCTAAGATATTCAACCTTATGGATACTAATAGAGAAATTCTATCAAGTGAGCAGTCTTTTTTACTCTTTAAAGGGCAAGGGGTAACTAAGACACAAAGAAAAAGGATTTGGGTTCTCACATATCCAAGCCACACACTTCTCTATCCTATTATTCTTAAACTTCGTAGAGAACAGATATCAGATCAGAACAGTTAAGATATTCAACCTTATAGGTAATAATTGAGAAATTCTATCAAGTGAGCAATCTTCTTTACTCTTTAAAGGCAATCGGTTATAACAAAAAATAAATAAAATTAGGTTGTCATATATCCATGATTTGGAGTTTCCAATATTAATAGCATGCCTCAGCATCCATCCATTTGATTACATATTCATTAGAGAACTACAGCTTTGCTTTACCTGGCCACCAGAGCATGAGCCTCCATGTGATGTATGCCAATAATAGGCAAATTAAATCCCCCAGCAATTCTCCGGGCTTTCTGAACTCCCACTGCATTGCACAAGATAAATACTGAGGCATATAATTCATAGTAAGAATTCTTCTTAAGCATATGAATAATAAGAAAATAAAATAAAGTCATGGATAATTATGACTGGGATATGCCTTTCAATGATTACTTGAAGTCAGAAAAAGTCACTCATATCATTCCTGCAGTTTGAACAATCAACCTTTAATACTTTAGAGTGATCTTAATGATTTCTTTGTATTTTGAGATATGATACAGTTGCACAATTTAATAAATGAGTGACTACCAATAATTTTGCACTGTCTACAAGAAAATTTGGGGAGGGCGACACAAACTTACTGTCAATTTTCATGCAAGTACTTTGTGTGGTGTTCTTACCTACGAAATATTGGTTTTATAGCACATGAAGCTAAGTTGGAGAATCCAAAAGATACAACTTGAATTGATATTTAATTTTCAACCAGATAAGTTTAGTTAAATATAATCACCAGGCTATATCTACATTGATAAATCTTCACAATTAATTTCAGACTTTTTAACAAGCATTATCTTGCTGAAGTCATGGGAAATCTAACAAGATACGTTGAAGTCACATGATATCATGTGTCATTGATAATTACACAGGATAATTTTTTGTCGGAAAGATTAGAGTCATAGAAGGTAGTTTTTTTTTTTTATTATCATTCTTGTAAATGTAAAATGTATTTATTCTTTTAAATATAACAAATATCTATGATGAGTATTCTAATTCAAAATTCACTCACTGAACTTCTGTCTAATTTTTACAATTCTATTCTCAATGTTTCTTAAGATCATGCATTACCGCGAAGGCAGAGACTCAAGCCAGGACCAATAGTAACAGCAACAGCAGTGAGATCTTTTTCGGTCATATAAGCTTTATCAAGGGCTTCTTGCACAACCTATCAAGAGGTTATGCCCATGTCAATGATCATATAGAAAGGGAAAGAGAGGGAGAAAGGGAGGCAATGAAAAAAGTTTAAGAAGCTCTATTAGAAATCTATTTGAAAACCTGGTGGCACTCTCCAAACATCATTCTAGGCACCCAAGGTAAATCAGAAGTTACTTTGAAGTGGGACTACAGGGGGTGTGTGTGCAGTCACTTTATCAAAAGGTTCCAAAAATTAGTAAGTGAACAAAGTATACTCAGGACATAAATTGTGTGCCCAATATGTGTTCTAGCTGCTGGGATATATTAAGAACATGACAGGAATGCTGTACCTGATCTATAACTTGTGAATGAGCTTCTTCTGCCATTTTTGGAGCAACGCCTCCATATTTTGCAAGCAGATCTGCCTTAATTTGGAGAAGTCATATATTTAGAAAGAAAAAATAAAAAATAGGAACTCAAGTCACTAATATGAATAAACCTTTTAGGATAAAGAGAAAGAAGCAACCGATGAGTTCATTTTGGTAACAATTGTTAAGGTTTCAACATAAAACCAATTGGCAATATGTAGAGTAGCCTAACATGTATTTAAATTATACCAAATGACATAAGGCAGGCGATGTGAGACTTCCAACACGCCCCCTCCAACGAAACCTACCAGAACAGGCAAAGGGTACTTTTGACCCACAACGAAAGGACAATTCTTGGCCCAAGACAATAACCGGAAAGATGTTAGGCTTTGGCTCTGATACCATGTTAAGGTTCCAACATAAAACCAATTGACAATATGTGGAATAGCAATTTAAACCATACCAAATGACATGAGGCAGGCGATGTGGGACTTCAAACAGCAATAATGCCTAATCTTGGATGTATGGATAAATTCACTCTAAAGAAATCTAATCATATTCTTTATTTAAACATTTCATTTTATTAAAAGATATAAGGTGATATTCTTTTCTAATGAGCACATATTGTAGAACAGTAAAAGGGTACATCAGAAGTTTGAACGATCAGTTTCACACATTACAGTTGTAAAGATTTTGCAAGATTAAATTCTGCAGTTTTCAATTCCAATACAGAAGTGATCAAATTTATCATTGTTGAGTTCATGAAGAAACATGTGAAAACCACATGCTAACAACATTTCTAAAAACATCCTAGAGAATACTACATAAGCATTTTCATGTTCAATGAAATCAAGTGCTTCATCAAAAACATGATACTAACCTATCATGCTAAATCACTATGCAGAAAGTGAAATCACAACAGATTGACACTCCTTTTCCATATATCTCATAATGATCAATAAGCTGTTAAGAAGTAGCAAAATCAATTTAATCAAACTTGGTTCTTAATTCTAGTAAGAAAACAACAATATGCCTATGCTTACCTGGTTTCTTTTTACTTGGTCATTATCACATCATATTATACTACCCTAATACGCTTTTATATTTTTCTTCTAGCAATGGTTACGTATAGCATTAGCACATTCAAAGAACACTCCCATCCACCCACCAGATAACCCAGCTGATGCAACATTGAAAATGCACTAAAGCACAAATTTTCAATACAAGCTGTAAGCACATGAACCTTTCTAAAAACAAATTTTGTTGCAATCTCACCACACCAAAAAAAAAATTATCAATGACCAAACAAGTACCGGTTTGTGTGAAACATTTTTAGGGGAATTTTGAGGGGAATAATTTAATTAACTTTTTTACAGCAAAAGCACAAAGACACACAAATTGTTCTTGAGAAAGAAAAAAAGAAGACACCGTACCTGAGAAGAGACCACTTGGCTAAGAATCTCACCGTCGCTTCTCACCTACACCGCACACAGAAATCATTAAACGACAAACCAAACCTTCAAACGGAAAATAATCACCAAAATGCAAATTCAGATTTTATACGACAGCCGCAGCGGTGTCGTCGCAGCTGGTTTCGATGCCCAAAACGACGACATCGCCATCGCGTTTTGAAGCGGAGGAGGTTGCGCGGGAAGGTGCGGTAAACGACGAATTGAATGGAAGTTGGTTTCTGCGGAGTGTGGTGAGTGCAGAGAAAAGCGAACGTGGCTTTGGGAAGAGATTAAGACGCGAAAATGTTGAAGGAGACCCCATTGTCGAGAGAGAGAGTAGCATTGTTGCACAGAGGATGAAGAAAGAAAGTAGAGAACAGAGTATGTGAAGCAACGTTGGGATTTTCTTTCTGCACCTCTATTATTTCCAGCTGCACTTCCCTTCATAAGCTAAATGCATTGACCAAAATAGCCTTTCCATTTAAAAATCTTTTGATTCCTAAATACGCGTGTAGTAAAATCATCTTGAGAATAAATAAAAGAAAAATAAAAAAGTTCTAATATTTCCTTTTGAAAAAAAAAAATAAAAAAAATCATCACAGACAATTAAGATAAATATTCAAAGAAGCTCTCTAAGTATCTCTTAATGAAGGACATTATTTATAAATCTTACTTTCATATTGATATTTTTTTAATGGATTTGGTAATATGATTTTTGGTTACTCATGTTCAGAATGGTTTCTAATTCGACACAAAAGTTTTTTGTATTTGTTCTTCTACCCTCTAATCTCTTTTATTTTGTATTTTGCATAGTGTTTATTTTGTATTCACAAAGGAGAAAAATCATGTACACTTGCACGTTAACATAAATTAAGACATGAGATGGAACCAAACCAAATCCATATGAAATAGAACAATGAACAAGGGAAAATAGTTGTATCATGCATTCACCTACAAAATTGTCACAAGAGTGGCAATAAACTTATTCCAAAGTCATTGTACAGTTTTGAAACTGCAAAATCAAGTCCAACTACAACTAATCAGAAAACCAACAGTCCTACAAAACATTTGAACCATTGACTATGTTCTGTGAATGCTTGAAATTTAGTAAAGTTGGATGCCACTCTGAAAAGTTGTGCATTATTGATAATGAGAGGGTTGAAGTGAAGATCATCAGGAGGAAGGACATCATCACTTAGAAATCTTTGCAGCCAGTTCTCTCACCAGCTTGGCAGCTACCATGGCAGTCATTCCATCGACAGTATCTCGTTGAGGGTTTAACTCGACAACGTCTCCGGCGACAACATCACCTTGAAGATTGTGCAGGATGTTGAGAACATCACGGAAAGAGAGGCCACCTGGCTCTATGTGAGATACTCCTGGAGCAAAGGCGGGATCTAGACAATCCACATCTATTGAGATATATACACCTTTAACACCTTCCCCTAGACTCTGCAAAAGCAAATCCCCAGGTTTACAAACCATAAAAGCACCACATCTAAAAACAAAAGATGATATTAAATTCCATCTGGAACAAATGTATAGAAACCTTGGAAATTGGAAGCATAGACAGGATACAGAAATGCTGAGAAAACAACTCTCCAATGATGGTTATAATTGTTATTATCATCAAATAAGAAGTAGTTCATCCACATAAAATGATTGAAATTTCTTACATACAAAGACATTTCAGAGACAATGTCAACAGATACCCTCACCCTTTCTCATTTCATAGTGTATGTCTGTGTTATATAAAATAGGTAAAGGGGGATAGAAAGACCAGATTTTCTAAGAAGTCACGATCTCTTGAAAATGTCCGCATTTCATATTGCTCAACCCCAAATTTTTTGGCTTGTGCACGCCCTTCAGCTGTTATTGATCTTATACCGACCTGAAATAAATTAATGAATTAATAGCATGAAGAATATGCAATTTATCAGAACAGTTCACTTGAAGACAAGTTCACTTGAAGAGACTACATAATCATTTTGATAGGATGGTTGAATATAACAAACTAAATTTCAACAAAACATGTTTGCTTTGTAAAAGGTTTTATAAGGAATTCAACTAACAGTTCTATTAACTTTCTGGTCAAATTACTCACTGTTTCAGATAATGAATAACAGTTCATACAATTGTGCAAAAAGGAATCATAACAATGAGAATTGGATTCCTTAATTTACGAAATCAGATAAATGAAGGATACCGTATCATCCATATGTCTTACGCCTATATTTGTTGTCTTGTTTTGGATGGTTACTGATGATTACATCTTGAGTTCTGATCAAGTTATAATTCACTTCTAAATATAATCCAACTCATTCTACCAAAAATAATCGGCCAAAATGGCATAAAGCCAAGCATAAATTAACAGAATATAAATGTGAATGAGATGAAAGTTATCCAAAAGCCTTAATAAATTTAACTATTTTAGGTTATAAACATAATTCTGCAAATATAAAACAATTGCCTGCAAAAGTCGCCGCACATAGTCACCCTCCATGACTCGAGCAAAAGAAGAAGCATGTGAATAAATGTTTCCTTCAAAAGCATCGTAGTTATCAGGATGCGCATCAAGATGAAGAACATCAACGGGTCCTCCAAGCTTCTCGGAGACAGCTCGGATAACTGGAAATGATATTGAGTGATCACCACCCAAAACTAAGGGGCGTAATGGATCCTGTAAGAATGTTGACACTATGAGAATTAAACTATTTGACGTTTAAACAAAAAGTTATCTGATTACCAGAATATGAGAAAATTATTATAATTCAAGTGATAGTAGATTTGATGGAAAGAATGCTATTATTTTTCACTAAAAAAGCCCCAAAATAAGTCATGTTGTTGGAGAAATAAATCCAATAATGAAATTCAAGAACCTTCAAAGATTTTCTCGTCATGTTACACATGTATCCTTCCCTACTCATATTCAACAATTGCCAAGAAGCCACTATTCATTTCAAAACATATTTACGATTATAAGTTAAACTGATTAATCAGGAGTGGAGCCCAAAGGATCAAGCTCTATTTGAAGACTCAAGCAAATGCCATTTTCTATGACCAATATATTAAATTGATCAAACAATCATTACTGACAGTGATTTTCAAAACGAATGCCATATTAGGGCCAAAACGTAAGCTAATAGTGTATAACTAGTTACACCTGCATTCACACTACAAATGAAATTTACTGCATGTTGTGGAACATGTGATTTAATAATTCCAGATAATGTGACAGCATTCAAAGCACAAGCTCACAAATTGAAAAATTACCTCATCCATTACTAGTTTTACAGATTCACCAATTACATTCATTAATCTGTGATCATCTACCCCACAATCTCGAATTTCTTGAATCGGGACATCACCAACATCAGTTAGAACCCTTGCATCTTGTAACTCCTTGCCTACATAATCAAAACCGTGCTATCATTATCATAATTTACCAGTTGTTGCAACCCAAAAAACAAAAATAATGAGAGCACTGTGAAGTAACATTGCAAGTGAGCAAAGAATCAATTAACATTTGTATGAGTTTACAAAACAAAATTGAGCCTATGCTAAAACCAAAAACAATACCAAAGATTTATACTGTCCAAAGAAACCCATATGACTATACCTTCTTCAGTTGTTGAGTTTGTGCTACCACACCAAATGGCCTCCCTAATGCGTGGAGGTGCAAATGCAGGTCCTTGAAGGAATGATGAATTATGTCCCAAAGGAACTCCAAGAAGAGTTGAAGTTGCTTTAGCACCTCCCAAGGCACGCACAAGTTCTCCCTGGAGAAAAAGAACTCCAAAATTATATTGCTTTGACGCAAAGCCTATAATCAAATCACTAAAATAAAATATAAAATTGTGGGACAAAAGAAGCAACACTAAACAATACAAATTCATTTAAGAAGGATTAAAACAATATGACATGCCTTTAGCTTTGCTCTTTCTCGAATGAGTGTAAGTGAAGCATCTATTACACGACTTTGGCCTTTCTCTAACATAGCAGCAGATACTTTTGCTGCATTTAGTGCTGGCATGCATCGGATGCCTCTGCGTGCTATAATTGACATTTCTGTATCAAACAAACAAAACAAGTAATATATATTTTTGGAGGCCAAATAACTAAATCAATTCTACTCATTAAACACCAATGAATTTTTTATTGAAGAGAAGAGAACAAAGATTTGCAAACATCAATTCACACTTCAGAGTTTATCAGTGTCAATGTCACTGTACACATCCAGTATACAGAAATTTGGTAAATCAAGGGACCATTTGGTTTTAGAAAATATTTCAAATTCATTTCCAACATATGACACCTTAATGTTTTCAAAAGTTTGTATAGGAAACAAAAAATAAAACAACTTTTTAATGTTTCATGTTAGTTGTACAAACTTTTGAATGACATTTATGCAATTTAAAGTGAAAACAAAATAAAAACAGAAAACATTTTTCAGATAAACAGTCCCAGATATCTTCTCATCCTAAAACCGTAAACCCAGCAAACAAAAGCATGTGACCCTGACATACATCAAGCAATCTCTTCAACCTCAATGTTGAAACACTAATCAAATGTCTTTCTTTTATTCTTTCTACATTAATCATTAAAATCAAACATATTATTCATTTAGTTACTGATATTAATATTAAAATAAAAGTAACATGTATCATACCGAAGAAACACCAAAAAAAAAATGGAACAAAACAGAGAAAGAAAATTGAGAAAATACTTATGAATCATGTCTTAAAGCAATATACATGAAACCAACAGTCAAAATTCAGAAGTTTTAGCAATCAAATTTAAACAAATATTATTTTTGCCTTGTTCATTCAGTATATTGATTATATAAAATCATATGCTTACAAATGCAAGTGTGATCAAAGTCCATGTTAAATATGAGAGCCAGGCGTTTTATATACAAGTATTCAAAATTTCTTTAACTTTAAGTCTTCTTCCAATAGAGTATAGGAGCCCAATACTCCAATATATGCAAGTATTCTCCAAAATTTACATGACATCAGTAGATTCTTGTGAGCATCATGTAAGGCATTTTATCCTAACTAATGATTACCATAGTTGGTTGTGGTTCTGTACCATATGATTGTTTAAAGAATTTTTGTCATGGACAATCATATAAAATTAGTATTGAACAATCTTATCATAGAAACGATGCTGGCATATCAAATTTTTATCATGTTAAAGCTTTGTATTGGTAAAAGATCACAACAAGTTGGCAGGGGCTAACCAAGCCATGATTAGGAGAATTGACCAGCAAAAGTAGGAAACTTTAGGACAATAACTTAGCGGGGAAAAAACAAGTAAACAAATTATAATCCAAGATATTAAAATAATAAACACAATCTTGTTTAGAAATCCATATAATTGACGAAATTTAGGAGAATGGATTAAGTCTTTGACATGAGCTAGTAGTCTGAAGCATAATATATCCATACAGGTGAAGAGGATCAATGAACATGTGGTTGCCTAGTAAAGAGAATATTTGATGATGTACATGATAAGTCTTCAAGTTTTCCAATTAAGACACTGAAGTACAGCCAAAAATAATTATTGATTACTTACTTCCGTATTCCTCTATGATGAATAAATTTTAAGTTATCAGAAGGGGCAAAGAAGGCTGAAATTGGTGAAAGACGCATGACTGAAAAAATGACTTTGTGTAATTCACAATTTTTCTATGGTAGCAAGCCTTGGATAGACTGCAAAACAGGTACAGGCTGACCAGGGAAGAATGCAATTAAATGGGCAGAAGAAGAAATAAAGCAAACAGGCTGACAAGTTTAGGAAAAAAGATTGTCTTCATAAGCAGAATTGTCACATGTAAATACAAGAAACTCCAGTTGTTTTGTCAACGAAGTCAGGCATTCATAAATTTGTTCAGACTGTAGATGTAACACATCCTTCGCCACAAACTCATTCACAATGCCATTGATTTCAATTGAGCTGCAACCAGGAGTCTTCTCTACTCCTCTCTCCTTCATTATTTTCCTTGCATTCCTTGCCTCCTTCCACATTTTTGCCTCACTATACATGCTAGCAAGCAAAACATAAATGCCACTATCTTGAGGATCCATCTCAAGAAGTTTCAAAGCTGCCCTCTCTCCTATTAGAACATTACCATGAACACGACATGCAAAGAACAAAGCACCCCACACAGCAGCATCTGCTGCTATTGGCATATTTCTAATAACCTCTTCTGCTTCCTCCAAATGACCAGCCCTTCCTAAAAGATCAACCATGCATGAGTAGTGTTTAAGCTGAGGGGTTATATTAAAATTGAAGCGCATCTGGGAAAAATACTTTCGGCCTTCTTCAACTAAACCTCCATGACAACAAGCTGATAAGATACCAAGAAAAGTGATCTCATCAGGTCTTAAGCCACAAGAGATCATTTTTGAGAAATAGGATATAGCATCCAGAGCATTCCCATTAAGTGCTAAACCACAAATAATGGCTGTCCAGGTCAAACAATTCCTTTGAGGAATCTCTTGGAAAACCTGCAGAGCCTTCACAATATTTCCGCACTTGGCATACATGTCCACTAGTGCAGTCCCCAAGGCAACATCCAGAGAAATACTATACCTTTCAATATAATGGTGAATCCATATTCCTACATCAAGTGCTCCAAGTTGTGAGCATGCAGACAAGCAGCTAACCATGGTCACTTTATCAGGTTTGATTTTCCTAATTTGCATTTCATGGAACAGAGCCAATGCCTCTTTACTATTCTTCGCTTGGACACAGCCACTAATGATTGCATTCCAAGGCATAACACTCTTTTCTGGAATTTTATGTAAAAGCTCCCGTGCAACATCCAGAAAACCAAACCTGGCATATCCCATAACCATTGTAGTCCATGAGACAAGGGTCTTATGTGCCATGTTATCAAATAGAATTCGTGCAGCCAACAAGTCTCCACACTTGACATACATGTCCATAAGTGCATTATTGAGTGGGATTGTCAACTCAAGGCCATGTTCTTTGACATAACAATGAAATTCTCTGCCGAGATTCAAATCCTGCAGTTGAGAACAAGAAGAAATGATCCCAATCATCGTAATCTCATTTGGTTTTACTTTCTCTGCCACCATTTCCCAATAGAGTTTTTTGGCCTCATTAGCTAGTCCTCTTCTTACGCACCCCGTAATCATGGCATTCCATGTTACCAAGTCTCTAACACAACCATTATTGAACACATTATACGCTGCCTCCAACTCTCCACATGAGAGTAGCATAGTTATTGATGCATTGTGCACAAATATATCAACTTCAAAACCAAACTTCAACACATGCCCAAGTACAGTATAACCAACACAATTCATAGATGGGAAAGAACAAGCCTTAAGCAACAAAGGATAAGTATGATTATCCGGTTTCATAACACCACCTTGCAACATTCTCTTGTACAACAAAATAACTCCTTCTAAGTCCCCGCTTTCCACAAATCCCCTAATTGTTACATTCCAAGAAAATACATTCGGTTCTCGGATCCAATACAAGATCTTGGTACAATACTCAAGGGCCTGCGATTCAGATAACGCACAGAACGTAACAAGTCGACTTGCGGCAAAGCTGTCATCAATCAAGCCAGTCAAGATCATCTGCGCCTGGATTTGTTTCAACTGGAGCAAGGACTGGCACCTTTCCAAGAGAGAGAGGAGAGGGTTGTTTCGAACGAAGCTGTGGGAGGTGTTCCAATTGATGGGTTTCACACAAGGAGATAAGGAACGAGTGTGCAAACAACAAAAGAAGCCTAAAAGTGGGATTTTTAAAGGGTATCTGAATCTGAGTTTGTCGACAAACAGGATAAACATGGTTTGACAATGATCTATGAAATTAAGTTCCAGTGCTTGTTCTCTTACAGGAACAACCTACCACACCTAAAGGTGGCGTTCTTGTTGAGGGGTATCAGAATCTGAATTCGTTGACAAATACTATACACATTGCTTCACAATGATCTATGAAAGCACGTTCCAGTGCTTGTTCACTGACACATGAACATGGTACTACACATTATGCACTAATAACACAAAGAATCAACAATTGAAGGCTTTCGATCTTTTTTGTTTTTATATTTATTATTTGGATTTATTGAAATGCGATAATATTCAGTAATACTCAGTGTCAAGTTTCTCCCAAGTCCTATATATACCAAAAGAAAAGAAAAAAAGTGGGAACAAGCAAAATTTTGTGCGTGAAGATATTGAAGGATTGAATTGAGTTAGGGTTGACAAGGAGAGAGAAGAAGAAGAAGAAGGAGCTTACCGTTACCCTTAGTGAAGAAGATGAAGTGTGATTTTTTATTTTTGAGAAAGTTTGTGTTTTGGCGAAAAGACGACAATGGGGTGAGGTTGGCGTGAGACTCTGCTGTGTTCTTTCAGAGTTTGTTTTTTCAGTGTACATGTAAGAAGAACAGAACCAAAAATGCCAAACCAGCACCTTTGTTATTGCATCAATAAAATATATTTTCTTTTTAAGAAAATAACAACATTGAAATAATAATGTCTGGAATAGTTATATACTATTTTTAGAATTTTCCTTTTCTTTTAAATAGGATTAAAAAAACATTCCAACATATCCAGTAGTGAAATCCATCATTAATATTAAACAGATAAAAAAATTAATATCATTTAAAACAAAGGTGCTCAGAAACAAGTTACTCATCAAGAATAGATGATAGCAATTGACCCTACAATTACAGTAAATTTCATCATTGCAGCCTTTATTAACTGCACCAGCCGGGAATCGAACCCGGGTCTGTACCGTGGCAGGGTACTATTCTACCACTAGACCACTGGTGCTAATTACGACAAGCATAATAAAAACATTTTTTATCTTTTTAATATTGTTGAATTCCTTGAATCCTTTGCAATGCACATATACCTATCAATAACTTTAAAATTAGAAGATTGAAAATATTTCATATAGACACATACTATACAACTCTTCAAATAATTTATTTTTATTAATATAATAATTTATAAAATGATTTAATAAAAATAAAACAAAACTATTATTATAATATTAAAAGAAAATTATTTATAAAAATTATATAGATTTATGTTGTCAAAGTATTCACTTAAACTCGATTAAACTTCAAACAAACATTAAGTTTATATATTATTCTTACACCATGAGTGTAAATAATTTATTCATTGTAACACAAGAACATGCTGAAAAAAAAGAAGGTTGAGTCATTTTGACATTTTTGCAGCTAATTCTCTGACAAACTTGGCAGCTACCATTGCAGTCATGGCATCAGGAGTGTCACGTTCAGGGTTGTATTCAACCACATCTCCTCCAACAATGTCACCTTTCAAATTTTGCAACATGTTCATAACATCACGGAAAGAGAGACCACCTGCTTCATAGTGAGACACTCCTTGAGCATACCCTGGATCAAGACAATCCACATCTATTGAGATGTATACACCTTTCACACCTTCCCCTAGTTTCTGCACAAGGAAACAATCTCATCACCTTTCAAAATGTTTTCATAACATTTTTGTCAAATTCACAACACAGATCAACTTTAATGTTTCGTGATTAAGAGGGACACACACCAGGTTCTCTAAAAATGGTCGATCTTTGGAAAAGTGTCTCATTTCATATTGTTCCACTCCGAACTTTGTGGCCTGTTCACGCCCTTCTACATTGATTGATCTTATACCCACCTGAAAAGAAACATTCAAGATTAAAACACATGAATAGAATGTGCATGCAAATCAAGGTTGGAAACATGTATTGAAATTACCTGTAAGAGTCTCCGAGCATAGCCACCCTCCATGATACGTGCAAAAGAAGAAGCATGTGAATAATAATTTCCTTCAAAGGCATCATAGAGATCAGGATGCGCATCAAAATGGATAATATCAACTTGTCCTCCAAGCTTCTCAGATATGGCCCTGACAACTGGATATGAGATTGAGTGATCTCCACCCAAAACTAAGGGACGCAATGGATTCTGCAAAATATATATACAAATAATGCATCGATATGAAGATAAGTCTCCCTCTACAACGCAATAGGATAAAAAAATCCTCCACGAGATGAACCGAAGTATTCTAACAGCTTGACACAAATCAACAATTTACCTCATCCATGACTAGTTTGACAGAGTCACTAACAACTTTCATCAGTCTCTCATCTTCTATTCCACAGTCTCGTAGTTCTTGAACAGGGATATCACCAACATCAACTAGCACTCGCAGGTCCTTTAAATCCTTTCCTACAAAAAGTGATTATATATAATAACGAGTTTTTATGCAAAGAATCATTTACCATTGTAGTAGAGAAAGTGATTGATTAATTACCTTCTTCAGTAGTTGAGTTTGCACTAGCACACCAAATACTCTCCCTAATGAAAGGAGGTGCAAACGCTGGACCTTCAAGAAACGATGAATTATGACCCAAAGGAACTCCAAGAAGAGTTGAAGTCGCTACTGCACCTCCCAAACTATGCACAAGTTCTTTCTGAACAAAATCATTTTCTTAATTACAATATGTATACATAATTTCTTATTGAAGTAATATAAAAGCACGTGACATACCTTAAGCCTTGCATTTTCTCTAACAAGTGTAAGTGATGCATCTATCATTCGATTTTGAGCCTTCTCAAGTGAATCACTAGATATTTTTTCTGCACATAGTTTCTGCATCGAATGGATATTTCTGCATCCTAATTTTGATACATCTGTTTACAGTAACCATAACATTAATGTTGTTTTGAAGAGGCTAAAAAATTATTTTTTCTATTTAATTTGCAAAATGTATGAACTATTTACTCTGCATTTCTCTAAGTTATCTATAGTTTTCAAAGGTTTTTATTTGTTAATTTTGTTTGTATACAAACTTTAACAAAAATTCAAAATATCAGTAATTAAACCTGGTATTTTCATCTAAACTACTACTCAAGTCCTTCTCAATCAAATATCAAAATATTAAATTAAGTCCACAAAAATTATGTATTAATTACAAACTGAAAAATATGATTCTTTGCATTCTTAGGCATGCACCAATGAAAATTCTATAATATTTTTTTGACATTTTTATATAAAAATATATATATTTTATATAAGAATCAATATGTAAAAAAAAAAAAAAAAAAAAAAAAAACTCTATTAACAATAGAAAAAAAAACAAGAATAGGTTATTATTGAAAATTTCAATCAATGAAAACTAAAATCAATTCCTCTTGATCAAAGAAGAACAAACTAACTCAGGTTCATACTCTGATTTCTTGCAAGAGATCGAAGGAAACTCATGGTGGAGAAAGTTGTATGAAGTGATGATAGAAATTATTTGAGGTTGTGACTCCTTTCATGGACAAACATGCCTTTATATACACTTTTTTTTTTTCTTTCTTTATTAATTATTTATAACTTTTTTTATAATCATTTTTCTCTCTCAAATCTTATAAAACTTTGGTTACTTTTAATTTGTATTTTTCTTTTCTTGAATACATTTTAAATTAAATAATATTTTCAGTTTTTTTAACTTTGTTCATCTTGAAATTAATAAATTAATAACATATATTTAAAAATATTTTTTACCTTTAATATTAGTAACTTTTTTTCTTATTGAGAATTTAATTTTTATATATAATTATATTTTAATATAAATATATGCAATTATGAAAAATAAAATAATATAAACTATAAATAATTTTGAAAATCAAATTGATCATCTTGTCGTAATTTTATTGTATTGTTTAGATTATTATTATTTTTTAAATGAGAACACGTGTCGGGCAATAATTTTTCTAACAGTCTTTATTATTTAATTTTTTAAGTGAACCACTTTTATTATAATTTTAAGTTTTGAGTGGTCCAATCATTTCACCTTGCACGTTTATTTCAATTTTATCACTTTTTCTTTAAGTGCACTGTTCAATGTTTGATCCACTAAAAAATTAATTATTTTTTTATTATATTTTTTTAATTAAAATCTGTTGCGTTAATAGTAAGAGGTTTATGTATATGATATCTTTTATTATAACTTCATAGTTATTCAATATAAATATAATTTAATAATTTAATTATAAATTATTTCAGTTAATAATTTATAGGAAAAAAAAACTATAAGATAATACTGGAAATCGTACATGTTCATTTTGGTCCATACAGTGTGTGGTCCTTTCAAGTGCAAACAATAAGATCATTGATTACATAATGGATAAGGATTGAATTTTTTATTTTGTTTAAATATTTTTTATGAGTTTGTTTTTAAAGAAAAAGATTATGATTATTTTTTTAATAAATAATAATTTAACACACATTTTAAAAATAAAATTATAATAAAAATTTTAAATAAGTAATATCTTAAAAATTGATCACAATAATATTATTATACAAACATAACAAATTTTATTATATTTTTATTATTTTATATTTATTTTTATTTTTTTTACTTAAAGATTAATTTTTAAACATGCTGAGAATATATCAAATTTAAATCTGAGGTGACAGAAATTGAAAATTGGTTAGGAAAACAAGAACATTAAAAATGAGTATGTACCGAAATGACAATTATTTTAAAATATCTTCTACATGTTGAAAATGTGTTGACACATACCTCACCTAACTTTTTTTCATTCTTCAAAACTGTGCTTGCTAGAAGAATTATACACAATAAAATACTTCTTCTAATTTTGTTAATTTTATTCTATATTTTAAATTTTGTACTCTTTCATTATAAAATATAACTCTTACATTATATTATTTTTAAAAATTTTAAAATATTATATTATATATTCTTATAAAATTAATATGAATATTTTGTATAGGAAGATAGTTGAATAATTTAATCGTACTATTTTGTGTTTGATAAGAGATAAAAAAAAATGGGTTTAGTGAAGTTGATGAGAAAAAGTCATAGCAATTTCATTTATACAAACTTAAAAAAAAAACTTGGTTTTTAGAAGAAAAAACAAAGAGAATAGGAATTGAAAAAATATATAACAAAAGAATAAATATTAAGTATTTTAACAAAGTAGAATTAGGTTGAAAATAGAAACAAAAGTGTTTTAGAACTTTTGTAATAAAAAAATAAAGAAAAACTTAAAATAGGTAAAAAAAATTAGTAAGAAATGAATCTCACTAATTTTTAAAATGAATTTCTTTTATTTTATTTTTCTTAAACTAAACTAACCAAATTAATTATCTCCTATTCCTTACGTCACTCTATCTAAGACTATGTCCATTTGCACTTTAAAGAAACAAATAATATAAAAAATAACATAAACAAATAATCATTTTTCATCTAACACACATTTTATATTTAAGGATTTAGAATATAAGATTTTATATTTTCTATTTATATATAAAAGATAAAATATAAAATATAAATTAATTATAATATAAAAATATATTATCATTCTCTTTTAATAAATTGATTATTCACTTTTATATATATATATATATATATATATATAATTTTAATTTATATATGAATATAAATTTTTAATTATATTATTTTGATAGACTATGATAAATGTGACAATCATTATAAAATAAATAAATAAATAATTTTATATTTTTTAATAAATATTATTTTATTAATTTAAACTCAATATCTTTCAGAAAAGTATATTTTTATATAAATAAAAGTTATTTAATTTCTATAAACTTAATAAATACATGGATAATTTTGTAATTATATAAACATTGAATTTTAATTTTTTGTTTATTACATTTTAAAATAACATTTTTCTTATTTTTATGCCATTTTCTTCTTGAATTGATATATATATATATATATATATATATATATATATATATATATATATATATATATATATATATATCATTTTATTTTTCTTTCCTCAAATCTTTTTCTTATTACTGATTATTATTTAAAAAATTATAAAATATATTAATTATAACATTTAATTTTAAGTATTTACCTATAAAATTTTAGAAAATATCAGTTGTAAATTAACTTGAGAGTATTAATTCTAAATAATTATTTAAAACTAATATTCTCCCAGTAAACATTTATAATAACTCTTAGATAATAATTTTTTTAAAATACTGTGATGAAGAGTTTATGTGAATAAAATTCCAAACAAATTAGAATTAGAATAATCTCTTAATTTCAATATATATATATATATATATATATATATATATATATATATATATATGTATATATGTATGTATGTATATACAAAAGGAATCCCTTATCATCTTTATTTTTCTACAATCTAATAATTTAAAGTAATAAAGAATTTTAATTTACAAAAAATGAAAAATTATTCTATAACTCTTACACACAATGAATTAATCTCTTCTCTCTCTTTCATCAAAATCTCTCTCTGATATATGCATCAAAGTGATACACATAAAATAGATTTGTAGTGTGCAAAGTTTCAGGAGGTAACTGTATATACAAAATGTATAAAGAACTAAATTGTCCATAGACAACATGGATAACTTTTCAAAAGATCATTTATCTTTATACTAACTAATAAAGAAAAACAAATCAATTCAACAAATGACATTGTTTGCAGTTCTGGTGGAGCCTAGTAGACATGCACAATTGTTCAAGTATTTTGTAGTTTCTGCAGAAATGATGATCCACAATCACATTATGAAGACTAAATTGATACAGTTTGCATTATCTGTACCAAATTCAAATTCCATTTTGTACTTGTACAACAGTGCCAGATTTATTTCAAATTCAAAGTTCCACGTCAATGTATACCATCATCTGACAAATCATATTAAAAGGTGGACTTCTTTTTGTTCCAATTTGTTTGAATGCCCCTGCAAAATGAACACCAGCAATCCCACTACTCTCAAGGTATTGATGCTAAGTCGGATTATAGGATGAAACATTGGAATAAGAGACTGAAGCAGTGAAATGTTGTTGCAGGAGTTGCTTAAACCAAAGTCAATGGAGGTTTATTTGAAAATTTGAAGTTGTTGAATGTTTCAATGTTCTTTAATGTGCCATAGTCAAAATTCAACCACTGCTATGTGGTCATAAATAAGGATGATTCACTTCAGCTTGAATGACCTATCTTCGGGATACGAGCACTGAACTTCAGGGATTTTAACCGTAGAAGTTGAACTAGCTCCAACTGATGTCGAGTGAAGTGTGACTTCAGCATATATCAAATACATTGGTGACACATTACTGCAATGACAATAAGTCATGTGCATAAAAAATGCCTAGGATCTTAAGAACACTGGGAAATTTCAATTCACGTGGACGGGATTGCTGAATCCAATAATGAGATCAAATCAAAATTTAAAGGAATCTAAGAAAAGTCCTAGTGTCAGGCCAGCCTTCCAATAATTAAACAAGGAAATCAGGCCTTTATTCTTGGCAACTAAAGGAAGAGAAGCCCTATACATAAGAGCCCCAATGCCTTCCACAACAACCACAGCCAAGGCAGCCGATAGAATATCCCAGTCACCAGTTTGTCCAATAACAGTGGCAAAGGCAGTTGCACAATAAAATCCAACCAAGAAGAAAAGCAGCTTCATAGGAAGATTTTTCTTTACCTCCTGAACTTTAGAACCTAACTTGCTCTGAAATTCTTGAATCACTCTAATTATGCGGGTCCTTCCATTACTGCCATTTGAAGTGGAAGGACTAAAACTGCTGTCATTTAAGCTGTTTCTAATTGACCAAGTCATCCTCCTGAAGAGGAACATAAGACTTAATATCCTAAGAAAAATTTTAACAATAATAAATGGTTTTCTTCATATAGTTAAATTTTGATATTCACCTATATAGTGTTTTAAGTGTTTCAAACAGCATGATTGCATGCATATGTTCATATTGATATCCCAACTTACCTACCAATATCAGCTTTTTTAATGATAAAACTTTGTTTGCCTACCCTTTTAGAATACAATCTTCAAAAGAACGACAATATTACATTTAAAATGTTCACATCAAACTAAATCCATCAGATTTTTGCAATGAAATACATTCTATCAACAGTTCAACACATTTCACCATGTTAGAATAAAAGAAAAACACTTCTTACCATTTTTTATAGACCTAGAAAACCCCTTATCACTTTAAATACTTAATCCCACCTAAACAAAAAATAGAAAATCTTTAACCCAGTAAAAGCTCTAGTGCAGAATTGTCTAGAAACAAAGACAGGTTTTCAATATCATCCTCTGTTAAATATAACTACGTATCTGAGCTCCATGTGAGCATTATTCGTTACAGAACCTCCAACTATATGTATCAAGTATCAAAAGTTACCCTACATTCTATGCAGGATAAAAATCATAAGAATAAACTGCCACTGACTTACTTGAAATTAACAATTAAACAAGGTTGAGCCAAGCTAAAGCATGGAGAGCATAGCTTCTGGCCAAATGTGGTCTTGTAAAAGATTGCAGCAAGATCAACTTTAGAAACTCTTGAACAGATAGAATCAAGAGATTTAAATTTGGCACTTGTCATACAACCGGATGACATCATTCTAGTTGCAAACAACATGCAGATTCTGCACTCCTGGAGATAATACACGATGTAAGAAACATTAAACGCACATTACCAACATGTGTAGATAATGATAACACATGTAATCACAACTGAAACTCTCCAAATCAAATTTTATTGGATACAATGATAAATGGAACCATAAGTAAATGAGAATTACTGTTCTCTAGTGTAAGTTATCCACTTGACATTACACCAAAAGAAAGATAGACACAAAGAACTTAAACAAAATACGGAAATTCTTCAGCAGACAAGTTCATGTGAAAATCCTCATGAGAGAGTTCCTTCACATCAACAAAGTGCTTGCACCTGAAAATGTAATATACAAAAATATGGAATACAAATAGACTTATGCAAATCTTTCTTAAACATAACACAAATCAATAGCTACCATACAGAGCCTTTAAATTTTTTAAAATGGATTATTTTTTTATCATCTCTGTATTCCATCTCACTCATTTCAACAGCTTGTAGAGTTAGAGACTAAAAACGAGTACGCCTCAAATAAATAAAAAATTAATAACAAAAATACATCTTATTTTGGGTATTGTTAATTGACAAAGCATATCAATATATGTATGTATGTATCTATCTATATATATAAAAGAAAGAAAAAATGGAACAGAAATGATTGAAAAGAAAGAGCAAAATGGGTGTTAGTGTAATGAAAAAATTAAGCAAAAAAAAAGTGAATTTTGAAGCTTACTGTGTGTATTGATGGTAAGACCAAAGTGCGAATTCAGTGTGAAATTAGGGCACGACGATGTTTCAAATGAAACCCTTATCATTTCCGAAACGAACAGTGAAGTTGCAATTGCAGAATGGGTGAGTGAATGCTGGTTATCACCCTTTCCACAATTCTTTCGTATTTTCGTTTACCAAAATATGCTGATAAAAGTTATTTTGTTTTATTATTCAGGTGTAGTTTTGATTTATTTTTTATTTTTTAAATTATGCTATGCAAAAAAAAATTTAACTTCTAGTTTTTTTTTGTGTATTCTTAATTGTGAAATTTACTAATTAAATATTATTCATATATTTTCAAACAAATGTATTTATTGGAATGTTTTTATTTTATTAAATATAACTTATTTATTTTGATAAATTATTTATTTGTTTCATGTTTAAGCGATAAACTTTGTTATTTCAATATTTCAAAGGTTACGCTCATTTCTTTCTTTAAACCGGCAAAGTTTTTCAAATAATTTTCTAAAAAAGATAATGTTCTACAAAAACTATACTGGATTCCCAAATAATTTTATTTATATTAATAAAATATTATTATTATTATTATTAAAATTATATGTATTCTTGCTTTTATTTATCTGGTTTTTATCAAATTAAAATAATATTTAAAAAAATTAAAAAATGGTTAATTTTGTTTAAAATAATTGTGTGGAAAAATAAAATGATATAGTAGGATGAGAAAATTATGTGTATCATTCAATATTTATAATGATTATTTTTTTAGTAGGGAAATTGTATAAGTTGTGTACCATATATTTTCTTGAAAAATAAAATCATCTTGATTTAATAAAATATAAATATATTTAATTAAAAAATATATTTAAAATAGTCATAAAAAGTGTATCTCTATTCTATTATATAATGATAGAAATTATGAATATCATAAAATATGCTAAAACTATCATAAAATTCTATCATAAAATATGCTAAAACTAATTATTATTTTAACCTTTAACCTTGTGTTTAATCCTACGGGACCAAGAACAAGGGTTAATTTGGTTCAAAATGATTATTTTGAATTCCCATTTAAATGGAGGCGTCATTTTCTCAAAATTGTCTGTTTGATATATTCCAATTAACAGAGAGTATTTTGGAACATTATGAAAAACAATCTTGTTGCAGCACATACATAATCCTAAAAGATACAAAGTATTCAACAGTGTCACATCATTACACGTGTTAGATACCACCATCTAGTGTAATAATTGTCGAAACAGCAATCAATTGCAAGATAACAAGACTGCTAAAATACAACTATCATATCAGAATCTATAAAAACAATGTGAAAAATGTAAACTTCAAGCTAGCCCTTCTACAAAAGGACCCCAAAAAATAATACAAATCTACCTGCCATTGTAGAGTCCTCAATCAAAATTACATAAGGTTCATCTCTCGTTTCAAGAGTCAAAAAAAGTGTATACAGATTTCTGGCACGAGATGAACCAATGAGTAGAAAAAATGCCACCTCTTCAGACTCAAAGCAAGAATATCATTTTGCTGAAGATTTGTCACGATGAGCAACACACAATTAGTGCCTTTTAGAGAAGTTTCTCATGCTTCTGTATAACACGAACCAAACATTATGCCTTTGACCGTCTAAACTCAAACCATATCTCATAATGGTTGAATAACAAACTATCATGAGTGTGCTTCCCAAGATACTCAAGCCCCAAACTAGCAAGCCTCTTTGTGCATTCCTCTCCTCCCAACCGTGAACAGAACTTTATATTATGTGATACATAGATTCTTCCATCATATGGTTTCAATTTAGATGCTAATCTTTCCAGTCCAGTCCACACAAGTTTATCAGGCATATGAAGGAATACAGCACTAGCATAAATCAAATCATACATTACGCCAGAACCAAACTTGCTAAAATCCATGTCTTCCCCTTTAAATATCAAAGGCCGTTTGTGTAGAAGGCCCTGGGAAGGAAGTTCATACCTAAGTGCTGCCATCAGAGAGAGCTCATCTCTTTCAAGACAATGGAAGTGTTCAGGATTTAAGTATCGAATGAAATGCAAACCAACTCGAAGAGTGCCACAGCCTATCTCTAGGACCACCGACTCTGGTCTAAGTTGAGTAGCTTGAGCAAGGAACTCAAACACATCTCTTCCCCCTGCCCAAGGTTCACCATAGTTGCTATGGTGCTCTTCCACTAGCAGTTCCCCAGGGCATGGGAAGGCAGTGTGGTTATCTGATTCAGGTTTCTCATAGTGAGATATGCCCTTAAATCTGCGCTTGGAAGAAGTTGAGATCAGAAAACCCAAAAGGGCATTCAAATACCCATGTTCAATCAAAATGAAATAAGAAACATAGCTGTTTATCAGAAAGAAACTTTTGAGTTTGAACTACGTTTGAATATGCACACCCGTACTATTATTCACAATCAAATGGACATGTACTGCATGACCAGAAATAGGGGAAACCTCAACCATTATAAATTTTGATATCAAAATTGACAAAAGCGACAAGATTGTTAAGTCAGCGTTTAATACAAAATTTCACAGAATGATGTACAGAGAGTAAAGCAACTTCAGTCTGAAGCATAGCATCATGCAAAAACTATTGTAGAGCCAAAAAGAAAGGCAGTAGCACTGACTTTTCTAGGAACACCGATTTCCATTCATTCTCTTGCATCTTCTCTCACCTTTTCTGACTCCAGCATAATAATATCAGGCTAACCTACTGTTCAGCTAGTTAATTTATTTCCTAATATTGGATGATATATAAAGTCCGAATTGTTAGAACTTTTAATCAATGCCCCAAACCCATCCATGTGCTCTGTCCCCTACCAAATACAATTTTCATTGAAAACTGCAAATGGCAGGATTCTCATAAATTAGCATTCTGATGACTAATAATAAAATTTAAAAATGTTAATCCCAAAACAAAGATATACTCATATACACCAACAATTGGATAAAAAATGGAGAGTTTGGAAGGGTCTTACTGTCTCAGATCCTCAAGTTGCTGAGCCCTGGTGCGAGGGTTAATTCCCTTGCGAAGCACATTGTCATGCATATGAAGCCCATTTACTCGGATTTGATCCTTCACCCACTCAACATCCTCCTTTCTAGTGGATAATGGATCATTACTGCTGCTAGACTCCTTCCTTGTCAATGATGGAACATTACCACTGCTAGACTCTTTCCTTGTCAATGATGGAACATTACCACTGCTAGACTCGAAAACACCTATATCAACACTCCTAGAATTGGAAGAAGAGATGTCCGAAGTACTGGGACAGGAGCAGGATGAAAGAGAGGACAAAAGGAAGAACAGGAGAACAGTAGCCACTAATGCTGATAGAACCAAAACAGGCACCGATACCACCACACCCTTCGACAATGCTGTCCGTGAAGCCAAGAGTGCCATCTATGACTAACAACAGCTTACTACCAGCCTGTGAAACTAGAAGGCAAATTAAAACTAAGCACACCTGCCATTGCGGAATGCTCAATTACTCATAAACTAATAATTACCAAAATACATTCTACCACATTGCAATTAAATTGAAATCCCACTAAATGTCATCAAATTTCATTTATTTGGAGTATGTTTGATTTTAGTATTTTGTTTTCTTCTGTATAGAGAAGTTTATCCAAAAACACAATTCCGTAATTATAGCCCACTAAGTGACATATGATGCATAAAAACATAAGAGAGCTAAATCAAAACCCAATTGAAAAAATCCATGGATGGAGCATATACAATCATGAAAGTAAGCAACTTTTAAAAGCCAATTTATCCGGGTATTAGAAAGTGACCCAGATGGATAATTAATACAGTGGAAAAGACAAGAAGCATATTATCATCAGTGAGTTCAATTGAAAAGGAACACAGCTGAGACATTGAGCAAAGATCGTGAAATGGGGAAGAAACAAGATGAAAAAGTGGGGACACATTGAAATTCGTGACAATGAATCGGAGAAAGCATCGAACCTTTTAGAGAGTAGATCTAATAGGGGGATGACGTCACCAGATTGGAATGTCTCGGAGATGAGAAAGAAGACCAAAATAAATGTGAGGAACCTAGAACATTACTGGAAACAGAGGGAGAAGTTAACCCATGTTTTGTGGTAGGGGTCGGTGAATGGAATAAGATAATGTTGCATAAAATGAAATGCAATGAAGCAAAACAGAAAAGAAAAGGGGAAATGAACAAATTTGGTTGTTCTTGGTTCAAATACCCCAGGCTGCTTCATTTATGAAAAAAGAAAATTAGGTTTAGGTTTTTTTAAAAGTATTTTTTAATTAAACAGGTCAAGTTTTTTTAATTTTACATAGTATTTTTTTTATTTATTTCTAGTAAAAAAAATCTTTTTACTTATTTTTATTTTTATGTGCCGATGTTTATACTCTGTATTTTCTCTTCAAGACTTGAACACCAGTTTATATAATATAATAATATATATTTTACGTATAAATACATATTGCATAGATAATATATATATATATATATATATATATAACTATTAATATTAATAATATTTTTTATTAAAAATAATATAAGTTTAAACTTTTGAAAGTGTTTGACATGTGAACTTAATCTACTGTCATTTATCCATATTTTCATTGAAAAAAAAGATTAAATAACTAAAATAAAATACGTATAGTTTTATAATATTATATTAATTATAAATTATTAATCATTATAAATTTATTATATATAAAGTTTTTTAATTATTTTTTTATAAGTATGTAATGCGCTATTTTCAATCAAGTGTATTGAATTATATTTTTTATTTATAAAATCAAATTTTCTGTTATATATAATTCAAATTTATTTTATTTTATTTTATTTAATTACTATGTCTTTATTAAATAATTCAAATATTTTTTTAATTAAATAGTTAGTTTGTTCTAGTAAAAGTTATGATATTTAGTAGTTAAAAACCTGATTTAATGTAAGGATACGCATATTTTATATTTTAACTAATATATATATATATATATATATAAATATATATTATGTTGTTAATGTAATAATTTATAATTTTTTTTAGAATTTCCTTAATTTTTTAATATTGAGTTTTTCAAAAAATAATTTATATGGTGAAAAAGGTGTATTAATTTAATTAATATATCATTATTAAGTAATTAAGAAACTTATGAATGTCCATTGTGTAATTTTTTATTATCACAAATTTACATACAATGTTTAGTCAATGTAGTGAAGTAGATCATAGAAAATAATTTATACATTATATTTACATTGCACAAATTTGATGAGACCGTTTAATAATGCTGTAAATATAATTAAGTTTTTTTTCTAAATTTATTAATTTGTTAATTATTTAATTAACTAATTTTTTTTATAATATATGGAATTATTAAATCTAGATTTTTTATATATTTTTTTACTATTACAATATAATAAGGTATGAAATTTTTGTGACATAGGAAAAAATCTTTAAATATATACTCACCTGAAACAATAGATAATGCTGAAAATACAGGATTATTAACTAAATTTATCAATTCAGTATTAATAATTTTTAAATTTTTTAGTGATTATAATTTATGTTGTAATAAATTAATATTTACCTCTTGGAAGATGGCCATCATAAATGCATGTTAGTAAATAAGTAATCATGTTATGATTAGTCTAACTTGATTGTGAATCATCCTAACAATTTCATCCATGTTAAATTGATTGTTTTTTCTACTAAAAAATATTGTTCATTCGGTAAACTATTTTGTAAATGTTTATTTTAAAATATACATCATATAAAGTGTTGACTACTAAATTAGAGTATACTCTTGAGTGATAATTATAAAAAAATATTATGATTACTTTATCACAATTAAACACTTTAGAAATATTTATTTTTAAATGTACTTCATCTAAAGTCTTGACTACTAACTTACGATATACAGAGTGATAATTATGACAATCAACCTCCATATATAATTTTGTTAATTACATTGTTACAACCTACAATAATATAACTAAAGTATTATAGTATATAACATATTTTTTGAAAGAACTTAGACACAATAACTATAAGTCAGGTTACATAAAATGTGTTTGGTTCCAATTCAAAAACAAAGAATAATTTAAATAGTCACATATATATTAAATTGCACAATAATACATATAGATATAGTATATATATATATATATATATATATATATATATATATATATATATTAGATCATAAAAAGTTTTTTAAAAATTATTTATTCTTCCACACTTAATCACACTAAATTTTATAAATATCAAAATAAATTTAAAAAATTTGTGACTTCCAATAAATCAAACTTATTATGATATGATCCATTTAGATCATTTAAGAACTTAGACTGAATTATTAATCATTCTATAAAATGATAATAATTTTTTAAATAAAATAAAAATATTATTATTTTATTAATATATATATATATATATATAATATAAATTAATTTGATAAATTATTATTTATGTCAATAAATTATTAAAATAATTGAAAGAGGATAATAAAGATTAATTTTTTAACTTTTATTTTATGACAAATTGGATATCTTTTTTATAATTTATATATTAAATTATTATATTAAAATAAAAATTATTTCTATTAATATAATTTAAAATTTAAAAATATATTTTAAAAATATATTTTAATTATTTATTTCTTTATATATATTAATAATATTTTTTAATTTCAATTATACTGATCCGTTAACATGTTGACCTGCTGTAAAGTTAGATTAAATAAAAAATTATATTTATTTAAAAATATAAATCAAACTAGATCGGATCATAATTTTTTTTAGTTGGCACTTAAGACTAAGTCGAATTATACTAAAGAAGCGAGCTACTAAATTATAATATTACTCGTTAATTAACTTTACCTTTTTTTTATATAGATTTTAATACATTTTAATAGTCATTATACATTATGAAAAAAAAATATTAAAGCACACATGTAGTTTATGAAATTTTATAACTTCTACGTTTACAATTTTTTGATAAATAAAATTTTAAATTTATTTATTTATTATTATTATTATCTTAATAATTTATCCACTTTTTATTTTAATATTATAAACTTATATTTATATTAATAATAATAATAATATAAACAACCTACATTAATATTAATAATAATTATTTATAGTTGATTATTTATTTTCATAAATTTTGATTAACTAATCATTCTAAAAAAAAATTATTCAAATTTTATAATATTATCTGTCCTTTACATAAATCTCAAATTTTAAAATATAAGTAAAAAAAAAAACTAAATGTAAGAAAAAGTCATAAACAAAATTTTGACCCATTTTACAATATTTTCTAGACGTTTTGTAGGCTAAACCTCGGTCTCTTAAAAATTAATTTTCAAATATAAATAAAAAATAAGTTTAATTGGAGAAATAAAGTGAGAGATGTTAAAAATATAATAGTTAAAAAAATTATAATAATATGATTTTTTTTACAAATCAAATAAACTGTTTTCATATTCAAAATTAAATTATTTTATTACACACTGTTAGTTAAATAAATAAAAAGTGTATAATAAAATAAATATATTTAAAATAACTTGTTTTCATCTCATTTTATTATTTTTATTCAGTTATCTAAATATAAAATATATTAATTTTTCGAAGATAAAACTCTAAGAAATCATATATTTTTCTTCAATAATCATTCTTTTTATAAATAATAATATCCGAATTAAAAATAGAAACAAAATTATCTATCGAATAAAATATTTTTATATGATTATTTAAGGATAAATTAGAGTAAGTTTTTTTATCATAATGTTTTAAAAATTATATTTAACATGATTATATATTGATTAATAGTATAAAAAAAATTATACTAATGATAGATACAAATTAAATTTTCTCCTTCAAGCAATTTTGAAAATATCATCAACTTTCATATTATTTTATATCAAATCAATAAGTTTATCTCTATTATTTCTCTGTAATAATTTATGTTTTTTGGTTTACAATATTTTCCTAGACATAATTATGAGAAAGAGTGTTGTACTAGAGTGATACTTAAGCATAAAAAATATATTTAAATATATAATTAAAATACTTAGGAAAATATTTATATTTATATTTTTTAGAAATAATAGTAAAGTTACTATTTTATCTTTACTTTAGTTTTTTCAAATTAATATACAATAGGAAAAAACTTATTTATGATTTGAATGTTTTGCTATATAATTTTTTAAGAAACTGAAGTAATAATTATATAAATATTTACACAATTATAAAAATAATAAAAAGTTTTAATGATCATACATACAATACTATAACCATCCAACATATTATAAAAATAAAAGGTGATATTAATTAGACACTAATTAAGAATTGACATTAATTTCTCTTTACACTCCTAACATGTTATATTAATACTTACTAAAAAAATTGAAAATTAATTAAGATTACTCTCTCCTGCATTTTTTTTCTTTATTTTTTTTATAGATAATCCAAAAATAAAAATTATAGTTTAAAATAATTTTAAATATAGTTAAAAATTTATTTTGAACAATAGTACAATTTATTTGATATTTAAATAAAATAGAAACTTTTAATAAAATAATTCCTTTAACATATTTAAAATGATTTTAAATTGAAATAATTAAAAAAAATTACAAATAATTATTAATTAGAGATCTTTTTATAATAAATATTGTAAATTAAGTGATTAAATTTTAGCGATGCTGTTTAATTATATCAGTGATTGTTATTAATTTTTTAAATAAATATTTGTAGATTTTAATTATTTATTATATATGTTTTAAAATATGATAATGTCAGGATTTATTTGATAATCCAACAATGTTCTAATAATATATTTAATTATTTTTTAAAATTTAAACTTCTAATTTTGATTATGTGAAAGATAGTTAATTATGGAAAAGTTGATATAGTAATTTATTAATATGTGTGAAAATAATTATATTGTTACTTATTCTTACCATTTAAATTAGCTGGAAGGTGAAATAAATAAATACATCAGTAATAAAAAAATGGAACAAATAAAAACAAAACGACAATTTCATAAATATTTTCCTTTCGTTTCGCATAGGGTTTTGTAATTATATTGATGGTTTGTCACCAACACGCTTTCACTTTACTGAACAACCACTTCATCTTCACTCTTTCTTCAAATTCCCAACAAGGTAACCCAAATCAAATCCCAGATCTGTTTTTTCTTTTGCTTGTTTAAGTTTCTTTCTTTGGTGCCCGCATGTTCTCTTCTCCAAAATTCACTTTCTTTTGTTTTTTTCTCATAATTTAGGGTTTGGTATTGTGATAGAGACCCCAGAATTTCGGGAATTTCTTGTGACACGGGGTTGCTATAGAATTTTTTCGGGTTTTGCTTGTGGATTAGGGTTGATTTATTCTTCTTTGCAGTGTTGAAGCTATCTTCCCTCGTATTAATATTTTTTTTGCAATATCTAGGGTTCAAGGGTATTATGCTTGCTGGATACATTCTCTTGCTGAAATGCAGTCTTTCTAGGTAGAAAACTCGTTCTCGCAGTTTCATTTTTATACTGAATGGATGCCTTTACATTTTAATTTTTTTATATAATGTTCTGGTTAGAATACTTGCAATTTGATGATGCGCACTGGGGGAATTTTACTGTCTAATTAGCCTTCCTGATTTGGGATTAGAAGCTGGGTTGTTTCTTGTGTAAGAAGCTTGATGTGTGCCCAAAGCAATAAACATAGTTATGTTAATTTTCATTTTAATTTTTGCATGTTTTACTTGTCTAAGATAGTAAGTAATTCCAGTAACTGAAATGGTGAGACACTGGATGTCTGGATCAAAGGGCAAAAATGTGCTTTTTCAATTTGTTTTATTAATTTTTTTTTGAAGAATAAATTGCCTTTTCAATTAAAAGGCTTGTTTGAAAAAATTATATTAATGATATATATATATATATATATATATTTTTTTTTTTTTCTTTTTTTTTTGAGAAAAAAAAAAACAGAAGTCTCAGATAAAGTTGTTTTAGTTCTCTGATAAGCTAATGGTAGTAGCTTAAGAAAAATAAGAAGAAACTTTGAAAAAAAAAAAGATTAATCACATTACTTTCTTTTATGAAGTTTAAATAAGCAGGTTGTAGACCACTAGTAGATCCTTGGTCATATCTTCCAAGATTTTTGGTCGTATGGTTAGTCACAGTATGTTTGAATTGAATAGATTTAAGGAGAAATATGGTTCAGTTAGTTAATTCAAATAGGTTATTAATTGCCGTATAGTTCGTAATTTGAATTCAGAAATATAATTTTTCATGCTATAGGCAAATGATGCAGTTAGCTTGGCTTTTTTGAGTGAAATTATCATGTGGGACCATTGTGGTGATGAAATCATGGATCTTATTTCCTGTATCTTATATTCCCAGAATTAACACATTTAACATGCTGGCAGTTGTAATTTTAAGATGGAGAACAAATAGAATAGAACCTTCAGTTTTAAACATGCTGTATAGAGAGAATATTGAATGGTTGTGGACCTGTATACTGGTGGACTTGTATAAGTGTTAGGAACTATGGACACGAAAGATTGGGATATTCTATCAGATAAAGAAAGTGTCTGGGTTAAAGCAGTATTGTACTGATAAGTAATTGCTTCCATGTTTTGCTCTTGATTTGTTATAATATACATACTTTATCAATAATGTTGTAGTTATTTGTTTCAGTAGTCGTGTCTCTTTCTGAGTTAATGGAATAGTACGATATTATCTCTCTTTCCTCATATTAAAGTTCCCCAATGTGTTTGAAGGCCTGAATCATAGCTGGATGAGTTTAACATTTTAGCTTATAAAAAATCTACATAATGTAATGATAAGTGTGCTAAATTGCTAGAAGAAAAATTATATGTAAATTGCATTTGCGCATTGCTTTTAGCATGTTCTAATTTTTTTTTTTTTGTAAGTTGAATATGTCGTGTAATTGAGTCTGTTTTCTTTATCTTCCTATCGTAAACACTTCATTAGTGAATTATGAACTGAACACTCATGTAAAGTAGTAAAAAAATATTATTTCTGCACTGAAACAGGTTGATTGAACTTCTTTGAAAGCTTGCGGGCTAAGTTAATTTTGGTTCTGTTGACAGAAAGATTGTTCAACCGTCATCTCTTCATTGGCGTTAGCTATGCTACCCACTGGAGCAAAAGAGACCCAATTACGTGAGAGCAACAGCCAAAAGGTCCATCCTCAACCAATGGAAGAGGCCATGAATCAGAATCCAGAAGCAATGGAAACTCTAATATCTAAAATTTTTACAAACATCTCTTCCTTGAAGTCAGCTTATATCCAGCTACAAGCCGCTCATACTCCCTATGACCCCGATAAGATCCACACTGCTGATAAACTTGTTATTAGTGAGCTTAAAAATCTGTCTGAACTCAAGCATTTCTACAGGGAGAACAACCCAAAACCAGTTTGTGTTTCTCCCCAAGACTCACGTTTAGCGGCTGAAATTCAAGAACAACAGAGTCTTCTGAAAACTTATGAGGTCATGGTGAAGAAATTCCAATCTGAAATCCAGAATAAAGATTCTGAGATCCACCAATTGCAGCAGCAGATTGAGGAGGCAAGCCAGAAGCGAGCAAAACTAGAGAAAAATCTGAAGCTTAGAGGTTTGTCAACCAAAGAATCTGAAGATGAAAGTGGCTTTTTCCCTGTTGATCTAACTCCAGATCTCTTCACCTCTACTGTGGAAGCTGCTGCAAAAGCTATTCACGATTTTTCTAAACCTCTGATCAACATGATGAAAGCAGCTGGGTGGGACCTTGATGCTGCTACCAACTCAATCGAACCTGATGTTGTTTATGCGAAGAGAGCGCATAAGAAATATGCATTTGAGTCTTACATATGCCAAAGAATGTTTAGTGGCTTTGAGCTTGAAAACTTTTCTGTCAAATCAGACAATATTACTGTAACTAAAGAGAGCTTTTTCCACCAATTTCTTGCTTTAAGAGAGATGGATCCCTTGGACATGCTAGGGCAAAATCCAGATTCCATATTTGGGAAATTTTGCAGGAGCAAATACTTGGTGGTAGTTCATCCAAAGATGGAGGCCTCATTCTTTGGAAATTTAGATCAGCGAAATTATGTGATGGGTGGAGGGCATCCAAGGACTCCTTTTTACCAGGCTTTTCTTAAACTGACCAAGTCAATTTGGCTTTTACACAGGTTAGCTTATTCTTTTGAGCCAAACGTTAAGGTGTTTCAGGTTAAAGGAGGGAGTGAGTTCTCAGATGTTTATATGGAAAGTGTGATCAAGAATCTGATAATGGATGAGAATGATGAAAAACCCAAAGTTGGTTTGATGGTTATGCCTGGATTTTGGATTGGGGGAAGTGTGATTCAGAGTAAAGTCTATCTCTCTGGTATGAAGGTTGCTGAATGATTCCTTGACAGAGGCAAGACTTTCAGCAAATGCATAGTTGATTGTACGTGCTTTGTTTGAATTGTTGTTTCTTTAGCTTGTAAGATAATTCTGTTGTCTGTAAGTTTTAATACCCCTTTTTTAGTGGTTGCAAGAGTAAATGAGCCTTTTATCCTTGTTTACATTCAAGTCCCTTTGTTTTGTGAAAACATCCTGCACCCAAATTCTAGTGCTTGTGGGAGGGAGGGGAACATAAAGGTGGTATAGAAAAAAATGAGGTTTGTTATGAGCAATTTCTTGTTGATTAAAATTTGTTGAAAATTGCTAAATTAGAACAGGGTCATTTAGTAAGATGAGACCCACTTTTATTTTTTATTTTCTGGTTTTAAATATTTGTACAAGAAATAAAGAAAAGTAAGATTTCTTTTAGTATTTTCTTTACAAATGATTTAGTAAACATAGTAAAAAATTGTAAAGCATGAGTTTGATGGATAGACACATTTTCAGAATAAGCTTAAAATATAAATTTATCTTAAGCCTTGTTCTACTTATGTAACAGGCTAACGTGTGAAGTTTTAAATCGAGAATTTTTAAAACATGATTCGAGTATCAGTTACAAGATATGAATTTTATGTTTTTAGGCTATTCAATGGGAAAACCTAGGTAAACAATAAAAGTAATTTCTCATTATAATATTAACTACTATGTAATTGATTACTTCCATTTTTTTTATATTTATTCCTCTCTTATCTTTATAGTACTTGTTACATTAGTGTTTTACCTTTAATGAAAATATGACATAAATAAAAAAATAAAAAAATGTAATAATTAAAACTAAATAATATAATAAAAATATATGATTTTAGGCTACATTAAGATTTTTTAATAAGATAATATCACACAAGAAATAAGTCATCAATCATGTAATAAGAATATAGGCTAAAAATAGGATTTAGGTTTCCATTTTTTTTTTCAATTTATAATTTGATTATCCATTTTTTAAATAGAGACATTATTCTTCTAATTTTTCAAAATCAGTAGTTATTTTAGTCATATTGTTCAAATGGAAATGTTGACACCCAAGATAATAATGTTAACTTATACGTGATTACTCCAACTAATATTCTCTTCTCATTGATTGCTGTAACAAAAATAATAAAACATCATGCAACTGTGCGAAAGTCAATGTTAAAATAATCCCAATGACCTTAAAATAAACAAATAATCTAACATTAGGGTATGTAACATGAAACACCATATATAATATCTTGAGTTAAAAATAATTAATGTAAGAAGTGATTGACAATTTTATAAATATAGAATGATATTGTATTAGTTGTTAGAGTAATTAATGTATTTTTTTTTTTAAGTTTTCGGTTTTCTTTCTCATTTATTCCATTGCGTAGAAGAGAAATAAGAAAATGTGAACAGAATCATATTGTCCTAGTTTTTTCATCAGGATTTTGTGCCACTGTTTGTCATCGTCATTGTTTTTTGTTGGGCTACTCTTTGTTACACCTGTTGTTGTCCTTTTTCGTGTATGACTGCTCTCGTCTTTTGTGTCTTACTATTGTCACGTGTTCTTCTCTATTTCAATTATTGTTACTACTGTGAGATATTCTTCATAACATTTTCACTTCCAATTTTTTCTTTCTACTACAACACCCTTATTTTCAAAGTCTCAATAAAAATTATTGTTACTTTTTTTTAAAGTAATTAATAAAAATAAAAGTAGTTTCTTTATAAACTAAAATTAATTTATACATGAATAAGTTTATAAAATATAATTCTTATTTATTTTTCCATAATTTAATATTTACTTTATTAATAAACTATTTTAATTCATAGAAATTGTTTATATATATATATATATATATATATATATATATATTTCTTTATTTTACTTTCCTTCCATAATTTTCTCTGTGATTTTAGTGATGGAACTTCTATTAAAATTTTGGAAGAATCATAATTTCTTTCTAAACAAAATTATATCACACCTATTAAATTAACACTCTTTCTAAGATCCACCTATGGCTTGGATAATCAATGACAAAATACAATCAACACATGCAACTTCTGTGAGCACGAATAATAATGAAATCAAATATATAGACATAGATTGCAAAATATTAAAGGGAATCATAACCCACCCAATGAAAAAACATGTATCACACACATGAACAAACAATGGGTGGTAGCAGGATATAGCTAATTAGCTTCTATTTATGAATTGTTGGTGGTCATAGTTGTGGCTTTCTGGTATGTAGATGCATATCTATGAAACAAGAAAAGTGCATTGCTTGTAACTTGTGCCACATTCATGGCCTTAACCTTGATAGCAGCCACTCTCTTGCTCATCCTATGACCAGGAAATGAGTACACACAGCTACTGGCATCTGTCAAGGCAGTGCTCACCCATGTCTCAACATTGCTGATGTGCCATAACATGTTATCATTGATGGTGGACCCGTGTTGGTTGAAACTACGAAGTTCTTTCATGGCTTGGCTTAGTTGATCCACACTATCAGTGATTTGGTTCACACAATCTTGCAAGGTTAGGTACTCTCTTTTGTTGCTCTTGATGGCTTGAAGTTCCTTTGCCACCTTCAAAAGGTACCCTTTTGTGTGCACTGCTCTAGAGAGGCTCACTGACAAGGCATATTGAGCCAAGTGTTGTTGACCATTTATGGGGGATTTGGCATATTGAGCCAGGCAACGGATGCAGAGATATGGGTAGAGGGTGCCATTGCAAGAGGACTTTATGAAGGTCATTGTTTTAAGATTTTTGTGTGTTGTCCGGGATGATGGCTCAACTGGGGTGGCAAGAAATGAGAAGAAGAGAGCGAGGAAAATGAGTAGCAATGTGAGATTGAGTTGTGCCATGTTAAAGATGGGTCTCAAGGGAAGCTTTTGGTTATCTGTGAGTCTAAAACAAGAGAGATTTCAAAGGTCTAAAGGAGAATTTGGTTGATGAAAATGACAATGGTGTGTGGTGCTTATATAGAGATTTCTTCACATCTTCACATCATCACATCACATAGCTGCTATGTCAAATGGAAATCAAAGATAATAATAATATTAGCATTAATTAAGATATATATACATTATATTGTTATCTTATGTGTGTATGGTATACGAGATTGTTGTGAATAAAATAATTGGTTGGAGTAAAACCTAGTTTAAGAAACTTGTTTTCCGTATTTGATTGAGGGCGGTGGCATGTGAAGTAAATAAGTGCTTCAAACTTTAGTGATTACACGTTTGAAATTAAGGTTAGACTTTTTTTGAAGAATGATTTTAAGAATTGCATTGAAGTGGCATATGGAATATATTATGCTTAATTAATACGAAAATGTTGATAGGAAACTTGAATGACTAGGGATAAAGGTCCACATCGAACTTCTTAAGGCGATACTTGCGATTCTATGTCCCCTGAAAAGAGGTGGAAAACTTAGAAGATTATAAAACTGTGAAGCACTTTTTTCTCTCAAAACTCAATTCTTCCTAAGGATAATGTAAATTTCGTCTCACTCATTTCAAATATGTGGATAATCTATAATTATCTATAAAAAGGATTTTTTTTTAATTATTTTTTTTCACTGAAGAGAACAAAAAATGAAACGGTCATAGTTAGAACAAAAATAGGTATTATAATTTATATATTTAAAAAATAGTAAATATATGAGAGAAAAAAATATGAATGTAGAGTAGAAAAGAAAGAAAATTAAAATAGTTTAATAATATAAAAAATGTGATATATAATGTATATAATATAAATTTATATTATACATATAATAGAGATTCCTTTTTATAATTGTTTTGGTGTGAAAAAGAGAGAAAAAAAAATTATATATAATTAATAGAGAAATAAGGTGAGATTAGTGAAGTGATAAAAAAATTATAACTACTTTTTATTTCATAAGAGCCATAAAAGAAAATATAATATATAATAAATTGAGAAAAAAAAAATATATATATATATATATATATATATTATTAGATTAAGTATATTTTAGGTAAACCATGTTTTATATCATAAAAATTATTAATTATTACATCTAAGCCAATTTTTACATTAATTTTTTTAATATAAATAATAATTAGAAAATTATCTTTCATTTTATTTTAAAGTTTTATTTTAATAATCTTTATAGGTAAATGTACATATTCTATTGTTGTAGAGATAGAAACAATTAAAATAAGTCAAATGAATCTATCAATAAAAGGATATATATTTGATTTTTTAGTTTTCATTAATTTAATAAAAACTGATTTCTAGATTCTCCCGTTGATTGTTTCATCAGGTAACTCATCATCCAATAAACTGTGATAGACATCTTCCAAATCATTAGGTGCTAACAGAAATATTTGGCCTGGCAAACATGCACTGGATTGTGTTTTTCATTACAATAATAACAAAGTCCCAAACAGTGTCGTTCATGCAACTCTACAGTCGTAAAATGTTTATATAGAGGTTTGCTTGTTGTTTGGTTGGCGACAAGAGGTTGTGGGACTACCATGGTGGAATCATCACAGCTCTTAGGAAACATTCAAACTAGTTATCTGATTGTCATGGTATGAAGCGGGTTGTGTCTCATGGTTATCATGGTTATCATGGTTTGATGGGGTGTGAAATGTACTAGGTTGCATAGAAATAAGAAAAAAATTATGATTATTTCAATGATTGTTGTAGAGCGACAAAATTTTATTCATGAAGAAAGGCGAGAACAAACCTCATAATAAGAGGGTGATTTTGTTAGGTAAATGCATGTAGTTTAGAAGTAATGGTTGTAGAGGTAGTGATTGAGAGGTAGTGATTGTATTGAATGTATATAGTTGAGAGGTAATGGTTGTATTGAATGCATATAGTTGAGAGACCATGTCTAGAGGTCTATAAATTGACCATGTCTAGAGGTCTATAAATTGACCATGTACCACTCATTGCAAAAACACATCAAGTGATAATATACAAAGTGTTTTATTTAGATACTTGTTTGTCAACAAATTGGTATCAAAGC